GCTTAGATCAGACTAACAGCAGTTAACCAACAGACCAAGAAATAAATGCTCACAGTTTTAACCTCTGAGTTTTGAGGTAATGTGTTATGCAGCAAATACTAATCAATACCCCACCCTAACTAAAATTATAATACTCCATCCTGACTCTGATATTTCCTATTTCTCTTCCCTTTCTTTTCTTCCATAGCACTTGTTACTAACATTCATATATTTTACTTATATATCTTGCTTACTGTCTATATCCTATATTAAAATAAAAGCTCTACTTGGGCAGAAATTTTTGTCTATTTGATTCACTGCAGTATCCCCAGAACCTAGAAATGTACCTGCCACTCAAGCACTCATTAAATGTATGGTCAGTAAATGAATTAACAATTAGCCCTATGTTTACACCTCTGGTATAATTCCCATATTACAACGTTCAGTATTCTACAAATCTGCACTTTCATTAAAAATCTAATTCATATCTTCACTATGTTCATCTAATACGATTTAAATCCTGGTCATGAGAAATTAAAATTTTCCATTTTACTATTCAGCATTGAAGATATGCTCTTTTCCAGTTTTTCCAGAATAAAGGAGCTACATAGCCCGAGTTGCCAACTCATAAGCAAATTTTGTTTAACTCCCTTAAATGTGTTTCCTAAACTATAAATTGGGAAAAATACCTATATCAAATATAAAAACAGACAGCAATAAAAACTTAACAAGAAAAGAGATTTAATGTCAATCCCTGATGAAGAAATCAGATACTTAATATTTTGCCCTAAAAAATATCATGTGTTCCTACAGCATACTATTTCTCTATTTAAGAGATAGTTTGTCTACTTCCCCAACAGACACTAAGCCTTTGAAAAAGAACTAGCATTCAATAAATATTTGATAAATGAATATTAATTAACATTTAAAAAAATACTTGACTGATTAAAGTAATTAAACTTTCATTAAAGTAAAATGCAGAAGTTCACTTTAACTACGGTCTTTTTACATTTTTCTGGAATAAATAATCTTTAATAAAATATGGTTTGGAAATATGCTAAGCCTCCAACTTTTAAACAACAATAAAAAGGACAAATAAAGGGAAATGTATGTATATGGATGGAATTGTTAAAGATAAAAGTAAAACTAGGGATTCTGGAAAAAAAAAACAAGAATTAAACAAAAGTTGGTTCTTCAAAAGTTGAATAAAATAGACAAACCCTTGGAAAGCCGAACTAAGAAAACAGATTAACATCAGAATGAAAAAGGAAATTTTAAACAACAAAGAAGAGTTAGGAGAATTACTGGAATACAAATGCAACTTCACATCAGTAAATTTTCAAATATAGACAAATAGTTGATATGCTAAAAAATTTTTATTTCCAAATCTAACTCAAGAAAAGGTAAAAAAAAAAATCACATCTATAACCATACTACAAATTCAAATATTTCCTAAAGATCTACCACTAAATAAGCTATCAAGCTTGATTTTATAGGCCAGTTGTACACAATCTACAAGAATCAGATGATTCATATGTGATTCTCATTACCCTATAGCACCAAAAAAAGATGGAAAACTTCCAATTTTTCAAAAGTAGCATATAATCCAAATTCCAAAAGAATAAAAAAAATTACTTCAAATTCTCACAAACATAAATATAAAATCCTGAATAAAATATTTGCAGCATATCAAATAGAAGGTTTGCAACTACTACTTGTGTGACGTTGGGTAATTATTTCACCTCTCTCTCAATTTCTTCATCTGTAAAATGAGAAACCTAAAGCATAACATTAAAAAAATTAACTGGTTACGTTAGAACAGTGCTTGGCACATGGCAAATGCTCAATACATGTTAGCTATTATTATCCGATGAATAAAAAGAACATAATCCATTGCATTACCACTTCAAAGGGAAAAATAAGATATATATATATGTAAACATCTGATAATTTTTTAGTAGACATTTTGGCAAATCTTTAAATAAAACAGGTATAAAGGGCAATGGCTTAAACATTTTAAAGAATACTTATCTCACATCAATAGCACAAATTATACTGTTAAAATACTGGTCATTCCCATTCAATTAAGTAGTTAAGACTAAGATGTTCAATATCATCATGATTATTCCATATTTTAGAAATTACACTAATGAAATAAAGTAAGACAAATATTAGAAGAAATGAAATTATTATTTGCAGATGATTTATAGTTAGAAAATCTAAGAGAATAAGAAAAACTAAATCAATAAGGGATTTTAGTCAGTAGGCTGGATGAAAGATGTATCAAAAATCAGTTTCTCTTTTAACAGTAGCAATGACAAATTTAAAATGCATAGGAGAAAGAGAACCTACTACCAGTAACAAAAATTATACAATACCCAGGAATAAATATAATGAGAATAATACAAGACTACATGTTGAACTACATACAATTTCACTGAACATAAAATACAACCTGAATACTTTACTATTGACTACTTCAGCAGTTTCTGTATCTTCTCTGTCACCCAAACTAGAAACTTGGAATCCTTTGCAGTTTTATCCCTCTCCTCACTCTTCATATTTGAAATCATTCACTAAGTCCTGCCTATTTCTCTTAAATTTGTCTTCTTTTTGCTATCTCCATTTCAATTATCCTAGCTATCCTTTGGAAAGATTCCAGCAAATTAAATATTGTTACTAGTTCTGGTCTTATCCTCAAATCATAGCCTATCCAGCTACCAGAGTAATCAATCTAAGACACAAACCTAACTAGATCAGACCCTAGTTTAAAACCAGAGATCACCACTAATTCAGGATGGAGTCCAAGCACAAGGCTAATAAAGCCTTCAGTCATCTAGACCCAGCTTCATTTCCTCCTTCTTTATCTCCTTTATGGGGTCTTAAAATAAGGGTCTACATTTCTCATATTAGGATAGGCCAAAACTAAACATGTCAGAGCTATCACGGTTGCACATCCTGTGAACCCTATGTCAATTTTTGGTGAAGTTTTTTTGAGAAAGACATTACTTTACAATAAAATAAATACCTTATAGAAGAGACGCAAAATTTGTACAACTGCCCAAGTTAAAATGTAAGGATTTCAAAGAAAGATAGCACTTACAACAAGCAGCTTTGACCTTTTTCCCTCCATTCAAAATGATGATGATGACTTGTCATTATTAGTGAAAAGTCTGGTACTGACAAACTGTTATCACTCATTCGTCAATGAACGAAGATGTAACACCTGCTGAGAACATAATTACGCTAGGCCAACTGTTCTAAATTCTTCATTGGTTAAATCATTTTATGATAACCTGACATGACTTCATCTCTACTACTTTCACCCTTGCTGTCTCTACTCCAGCCATCCTGGAGTCCTTGCTGTTCCTAATTTCCACTGACAGGCTCCCATTTCAAGGCCTTTGCCCTTGCTATTCTATCTACAGATCTTTCCCTTTAGAGAGCATGGCTTTTTTCAACTCCTTGAAGTTTTTCCTTAAATGCTGATTTCTCTATCCTGACCTCCCATTTACCTTTTTTAACCATTACTCTGCAGGAACCATTCTCTTTTTTTTTCATCTCACTTTCCTTAACTTATTGTTTTTATTAATTATTGTTTTTCTTTCCCTTATCAAATGTAATGATAGGATTTTTTGTTTTATGACAGCAGGATTTTTATTTTATTCACTGAATCTAGTGCCTAGATTAGTGCCTAGCCTATTGTAGGCTCTAATTATTTATCGCATGGACACTTATGAAACAGGTACTGTTAATCAGATTTTACTTTACGAAGAAACTGAAGCAGTGAAAATTTGCCTATGGTCACATAGTAAATGGTAGAGCTACGATTTGTAAGCAGACAGCCTGGCTTCACTCTTTACCATAACTGCTTGGTGTCTGATTTGTGTGATGAATTCTGTGTACTATCTATTTAGTACATTTCCTTTACTAGACAGTTTCTTCCCGGCAGGATCTGTGACTGCAGATCTAGCCCACTTTATACAATCAGTAATTGTTTACATAAAGAATGCATAAACATTAATTACCAATGATTTTTACATATATGCCTCAATTATTTAAACTTTCAGATTTAATTTTAAAATTGTTTTTAATATAAAATTAATTCCTGTCTTTAGAAATAGTGACGTAAAATATACTTTGAATTGACAAAACATGATTTCTGATGAATGGTTTAATTAAAAGGACGTCTACCCTTTTCCTACAATTCTCTCCAAACTGGCTTTTAAAGCTTTATTCAATATTTGCATACATTAAGCAAAAAGCGACAGAACCAGCCTGACTCATTATATACACATGCATAATATTAATTATCTCTGGTCAAACCCCGCAAACGACAGTGCCATTTTCGCAGACACCAAGATTTATAAATCAATCATGCTAGATAAAAACAAATATCTTCACTCACAAAAACTGACGCTAACGAGAACACCCTCCGGAGCAATACCTGGCCCAGGAGTCACCTAGACTAGCTTTCTCGAAAGTCTGACAACTATCACAAGGGCATGACTAATTCGCCACCGAATCCTAATGGCCATAGGTTTAATCTGAGAAACAAACATTCGCGGGCAGAAGGGGTGGACATATGAGCTATTTAAAAAGAGGCCCCGCCCAGGCCGCCTCAAAATCTAGGGCCCAAGATTCTCCACCTCAGAGGTCCTCACCGTGTCTAGACTAGGGGGAAGCGACCGTTTCTCGGGTAGAGGATGCTGCACAAAGGAAAAACTGGCCATCCAGCGTGAAGGCCGAGGAAGCAAACGAAAGCAGAGCGCACTGATGAACAACGACACCCCGGCATCCAACCGCCCCTTCACAGGTGGAGCCGCAATTACATTTCTCGCGAGATGTCTCGTCTTCACGGGATCTCGAACTAAAACCTCGCGACTTTTCAGAGCAAGGGAGGCTCTGAAAGGACGGCCCCTAAGCCTCTTCGCGGACTCACAAAGCGCCTCTATCATTTCCCCCTCCCCACCCATCACCTTCCCTCCACCGCCCCGCGCTTCCCCTCCTTTCCCTTTATTGAGGGCAGTCCCCAGGTTGTCTAGGGACTTCCGGAGCTCAACCGGAACCGGAAGCTTCTAGGAGCGAGGGGGTGGGGCCGAAAATCAAAAAAAGCGCGGCCGAAGGTGGAGGCCGGTGTTGGCAGGGTGGTGGTAGCCCTGGGCAGGGCTGTGGCGGGTCCCCATGGACTCCACCGCCTGCTTGAAGTCCTTGCTCCTGACCATCAGTCAGTATAAAGCCGTTAAGTCGGAGGCGAACGCCACCCAGCTTTTGCGGCACTTGGAGGTGAGGTGCTCCGGGGTGGCGGATGCGATAGGCTTCCTAGTTCACTTAGTGGTCGGGATGTAGCGGCCTCAGCCTAAAAAAACAAAGGATAGCTCCTCGCTCCCTCCGCTGTCTTTTGTATTGGTAAAGAAGGAGAGTGAACGTCGGCCTTGAATTCCCGCTGTCTTCTACCCACCCCCACCCCCCAGCCTGTCCGTATTCCCCCAAGGAAAGAGTAACTACTGAAAACCCTAGGAAGAGGGAGGGTGGGACAAAAGATTGAGGGATTTAAGTTGTGCTTGGAGTTGGTAGAGAAGAAAGCTCGGAGCTGTATCTTTTCCTTTGTTTCTTATTTTGGTTTTTCCATTGTAACAGAGCCTTCGCAGAATGTATGGCAGTTCTCGGAGGTGGAGGTGATGGGGAGTGGTGATTAAAACTTGAATAATTTCTTATCCCTTAGGCAGTTTACAATTTGAACCTGTTGCTTAGTGCTTTTATTTGAAGTCATGTTGAACTAGAGCTTGGAAAATATTACTTTAGCTTTCTCTGGACTGAGAAGCAGTCTCCCTTTCTAGTAATCATAATCTTTTTTCTTTATCAAAATATATTGCTCACAGTTTTTCGGTATTAAAATAATCAATTGCTGTCACTTTTCCCTTAGTGTCCAGTGATTTGCTTATTTTACGTTAAAAGTTATAATTACAGCTTTCTGGGATCCTGTTTGTTTTTAGGCTCTTAATCTCCTGTCATTTGTTAGGCATTCATGGAATTCCAACTAATACTGATCTCAGATTAATAAAAAACAATTAAGCCCAATCAAAGCTTATTTTTATCCTCTGTTACAGCTTCTGTTGAGATAGAATTGAACATAAGTTTAAAATACATTCTTATTGTTGTATTAACCCTATGATAAAAGGCTAAATTACCAAAGATTAGCAAGATATTACGGAGGAAGGCAACTGTGAATGGCACAGTAACATAGACCTTTGTTATAACTGGAGGACACTAACTTCTCAAACTTCACTAGTGTTTCTCCTACTACTTCAGGTGCCTGTCTCCTAAGAACATTTGTTTTCTTTTTTCATTCATTACCTCAACGAATTCCTACAAACCTAACAATGAAGGTGTTGGCTGTTAAATGCTAACACTTTGCTTCTCAATTAGGATAGAGCGGTGTGCTAGTGGACTCCAGAAGCCACAAAATAAGCAGAGCTGTCAGTTTTATTTAAGAACTATGAGTGAAGAATTTTAGATTTATATCTTAAACATTACCTCTTTTTGAGAATAAACAGGTATGTTGTAAATCTGAGCAAAGTGTTATCATGAACTGAAAAAGACTTAAGAGAAATTTGAGGCTTGGAGATTGTGTTCCTGGCCTTTTCAAGAGGTTTACCAAAATCTACTGTTTAAAATTGAGCGAGAACATATGTGCATTGCATAAAGTGCATTCATGGTAAGTGAAGTTTTTTTTTTAATAAGTGTACACTCAAGTAGCTACCAACTGTATCATGACACAGAACATTTCCAGCACCCTGTTATTTTTTCAGTTGTCCTCTATGGTTCAGATAAGTGGATCCGTATGTACTTCTGTGTCTGCTTCTTACTCTTAATATAATCTGTGAAATTTATTCACGTTGCCCATATGCCAGTACTTCATTCTTTTTTATTGCTATGTGAAATTCTATTGTACAAAGATAACACAGTTTATGTATCTTCTCCGGTTGATGAACATTTGGGTTTTTCCAGTTCTGGGTGGAATTAGGAATAAAGCTGTTATGAACATTTTAATACACTTTTGTGGATATATGTATTCATTTCTCTTAGTACCTCATAATGGAATTGTTAGGTCTACCAGTTTTCCACAATGTATATACCGATGTACCCTCCAGCCAGCAATATATGCTGTCATTTATCCACACTGCTCCTTGGTGTTCTTAGATTTTTAAGTTTTAACCATTTTGGTTGATAATATTATGGTGACTATCTTTGTGCAGACCTCATGAGAGCAACATCTGAGGATACAAAGAGAGATGGGTATCATGTGAAAGGAGATTATTCACTCTGCTATCCTGCTGCACTTCTGCTGCAGTACTTTTTTCTTTTTGCAGAACTTGAACTCTGAATTTTTTTATGATTGGCAGAGCTGAGCTGATCTCATTCTTGTTGGTGTTTCATAGCACTAATCTTAAGTAATGATTGTAAGCATAGATTTAGGGACAATAAATCCCAGTTGTACTGCTGTCTATTATGTGTTCCTCAGTTTACTCATCTGTAAAATAATTAGCACCAACTTACAGGTTTATTATGAAGATGAAAGAAATAACATATATATGGTACCTAGAACCATGGCTAGGCCAGAGTAAATGCAAGACTATTAGTTATTAATGAAATAAATTCTATTCTCATTAAAACATTCAGTGTGTATGAGTAAAGAGGAAATATGTAAATTTTTTTCAATTTTACCTTGTAATAAATAATTATTTTATCTTAGAATATTTATGTTGTTGAAATACAGGTTCAGTCCTGAGGGAAATTGTATTTATAGCAGAAGATATCTTAATCTTTTAGAGGGCTAGCTGTATAAGCAGACAAAAGGGCAATGTTCAGGAGGTTCCTTACCCCAAAATGTTTACCATCAGTGTCTAACTTTGCCTTTGGACCTGTTTTTTCAGTCTGATAGACTTTTACTTTAATGTTAAAACACATACCTGTGGGAACAGATACTCTGAAGATCTCTTAACAGCAAAGCTTTAGAAGAAAAACTGACATCTGGGTGAGGGAATAAAAGAGGGATACAGAAAAGAAAGAAAGAGGGATGCTGAAACAGCCTGAATACAGTCTTTTTTTTTTAAGTCTTTTAAAATAAAAACATTTAGAACAGATTTAATCTAATTCTAAAGTAACTTATTTTTATAGAAAAGATATGTGTAATAGTGAATAATACTTATAAAGCATTTTGAAAATAAGTGGCTGTCTGACAACTATTCCCAGACTTCAATCCCAGCTTTACCTTTTCGGGAGGTGGTTCAGAAAGGGGGCGTGCTTATAGGGTTATAAGAGAAAAGTGAAAAGTGGAATAACAAATAATAAAATGTTTCAATGCCTAACCTGGCTACTTAAAAAATTGTTTTAACTTCCTTCTTTGTAATCTCTAACTTCTGGGCTCAGGTACTGTCTGGTAGGGAGCAGAAGGAGCAACCATATAGTTAATCACATAGCTAAGCTTTTGGATTTAGCTGCTTTCCACTTTCCATTTGCTTTCCTCAAACGAGGTAGAATGAATGTATGGACTTCATTTATTCAAAAAGTATATTGATAGTAGAATGTTGATATGTAATCTATGTCTTCATAGAGTTATCAGTGTAGCTGGGAGGATAAATATTGCTAGATTGGCAAAAGCTTGTTAATTTATGAAATAAAAGTATAATGTACTATAGGGTAAGTATAACAGGCAAACCTAACCTAGTTAGTGGAAGAGGATTAGAGAAAGCTTTCTGGAGGAAACAAAACTGAAACCAGTATTACATTAGTTAGTGAATGAAGGAATAGGTAGCCTTCCATGTAGAGAGAATAGCACATATGCATTTAATAAATTGGGAAAGAATGTGGCAACGGTGCTGTGAAAGAACTGGGTTTTTATTTGAAATGGAGAAGAGATAAAAATTGCCAGTTCTTAAGTAATACATTTTAATGACTGTTTTCTAGGTAATTTCTGGACAGAAGCTCACCCGATTGTTTACATCAAATCAGATACTACCAAGTGAATGCTTGAGTTGCCTTGTAGAGCTTCTTGAAGACCCAAATATAAGTGCACCACTGATCTTAAGTATCATCAGTTTGCTATCTCAACTAGGTAATATAGTTAGTTTCTCTTTTTTATTTTTTAGAAGATAATATGAATTTTTTTAAAGGGCAGGTATAGAATCTTTTAGAGAATGGTTCACATTCAGAAGATTTTTGTTTCAGGACCTCTTAGAATTATTTTGTGTTGTGGATCTCTTGAAAAGGGAATATTATATGCATTCTTTACTAAAATTATTGGAACAAAGAATCTGAAGCATATTAAAGAGTCAGTGGTCTACGAAAAAGAATGTACCTTGGGAAATACCAGCCTACTTTTTCTTTTTAATGGAGGTACTGGGGATTGAACCCAGGAAGTCATGCATGCTAAGCATGCCCTCTACCACTGAGCTTTTACCCTCCTCCTAGCCTACTTTTGAATTAAGAAAAAAAATGCATACACATAGTGCCAGTATGAACTACAGCGCTCTGGAAAGTCACAGCTAGTAATCGAAACATCATTCTATTTTTTTTTTAATTTTATTTATTTATTTGGGGGGGTAATTAGGTTTATTTATTTATGTTTCAAGGAGATACTGGTAATTGAACCCAAGACCTTGTGCATGCTAGGCATACACTCTACTGCTTGAGCATACCCTGCCCCAACATCATTCTTTTTTGATAGACTATACTGAACTTAGCTCTAAAGCTAAAATACAAGTGTTACTTTTTCTGTTTTTCCCTACCTTATCTTTAGTTTTTAAATTTTTATTCAGCAGTTACTCTTTTTCTTGATTTGTGTTTAGGGGTAGAGAGGAAATATTTCTGTGTGTGGTTATAAAATTGATTCGTGCTTATTTTAAAAAATCCCAATGATCTAGTAGTAACATAGAGCAGCATGTCAAATAGATGATGAAAATGTTCTCTGTGTTGTCCAATATAGTAGCCACCATAATCAAACTTCTGAACTGGAAGGTATTTGTAAACAAAATAGCTAAATTATATTTGATATTTTTATATAATTATAAATTTAATATAAAATAAATTTTAAATTATTTATCTTTCATCCATGAAGACCATATACATATATATATGATGTATTTTGTATGATTTTATTTTAACTTACAGCTGTAGACAGTGAAACCAGAGACTGTCTTCAGAATACATACAACCTGAATAATGTGCTGGCAGGAGTGGTTTGTCGGAGCAGCACTTGCCACAGTGATTCAGTGTTTTTGCAGGTATATACACCCACACAGCACTTTCCACTTAATACTTGTTCTCCCTTCCTTATTTTCAGATCAAAACTGATAGTATCTGTTATAAACTACTGACTTATAATGTACTATATGCTGGTGTAACACTGCATGATGAGGCACAGTTCTCACTATTAATAAATTTAAAAGCTGATTGATCACACATGTACTACTATTTAAGAGTTTCTAAAGAAGGGAATTTTATCCACGTATACTACTATTGAAGAAAGACAAATCTACATTATAGCTGTTTTGACAGACTTAAAAACACGTGTCAGCATTTTGAGATGTAAGCTATTTATATTAAAATTGTAATTTGAGTTGGCATCTAACCTCAATCTGTGTAACATTCTATAAAAATTGAAGCTATAGATTTGGTTTTATTTAACGTAGACTCAAAGCTCTTCTACCCATAATAATTTCTTGAACCTAAAATGTCATCAGTTGTAAGAAGGAAAAACATTGTAAATTAAACTGACGTGCACCTTTAAAGATGGTAAAATATGAAAAAATGTATACCTTAGAATTGATGAAATATGTGTATGTTTCAATATGCATTTAAGTTTAAGATGGTTAAGTGAGACAGGTTGTTGACAAGGTGCTCTGTTTGAGATAGAATGTATAGAAATATGTGAATCAGCAGCAGAACTCTTCAGGTTTTTAGTAGTCTCATTACTTGTATTTGTTAAAAAAAAAAAAGATAAAACCTTTTCAAGAAATGGAGAAGTTCTTTAAACTCTGCCTTCTAAATTGATTACTCAGAATATGCACAGGAGTTCATTCTTGCGAGCATGCAATATGTTTTCATGTATTTATATTCATTGCTATTTTCTTATTCTCAGTGTATTCAGCTTCTGCAGAGGTTAACATATAACGTCAAAATTTTCCATTCTGGTGCCAATATAGATGAATTAATTACATTCCTGATAGATCATATGTGAGTATGCAACCAAACATGTAACCAAATAATCTATTGGTTTGTTTTTAACTAAAACCATATAATAGTTCAATTTTTCTTAAATAATTTTTTTCAACTTTTTAAACTGAGACCCTGATTCTTGCTTACTCCTCAGAGGTGGTTTCAAGGATCAAATGGAGTAAAGCAACTTTAATTTTCATAGCAAAAATTTATGAAATGAATTGATTTAAAGAAAAACTTGTTGAAACTGAATATTACATGTTTAGTTTAATCTTCTTGACAGAAGAATATACTGATAAGATAGCACATGATCTCTTAATTATTTCTATGCTGCAATTGAGTAGGATCATTTAGTTTCAAAACATGAAATAAATGACAAATACTGTTCAAAGCTTGACAATCTTCACATGTTTGTCAGATTTTTCTTTTTGCATATAAAAAGGAAGGAATTTAAATGTATAAATTACTATATAATTTTTGAATAATTTAGAAGGAGCTTAATGTTTTTGTCTTTATTTTCTTAAAACAACAGTCAATCTTCTGAAGATGAGTTAACAATGCCTTGTCTAGGATTATTGGCAAATCTTTGTCGATACAATCTTTCTGTTCAAACACACATAAAGACTTTGGTAAGAAGTTTGTAAAATGTTTCTTTCTTGTTTTGTTGTGGGTTTTATACTTAAAGAAAATTTTGTTCACCTTTTTTTTTTAAAAATATTTAACAAGAATTCTCATGTGTTATCCAGCTGACCTATCAAAATTAATGAAGAATCAGATTGACATATAAATATCTTGAAGTATTCCAGCTTTAATATATGTTTAATTAAGACAAGTTAAGGATTAATACAGTTGTTGAATACTAGTAGTTTTATTCTCCATAGCATCCCATTATTTGTCTTACTGAATAATTCAAGAAATGCTAAATTATTTTGTGCTGGTAGGGAGGCACACCATTGGCATTCTCATTTACCTCAGTCTCTTAGTTATACAAAATCAATTACAGCTCTCTCAGAAAAATTCATGAGTAAGTGCCTAGCATCATGACCAGTACTTGTGATAAGTGAAGGCACTCAAATGAGGTTAACTAAACTACACTGTTAGAAATACATTAAATCAAGAAAGTTCATTGATTCTTTAAGGTGCTTTGTGAACACTTTCCTTGCTGTGCAGTATTATAATTTTAAATTAAACAATATCTCATTTGTTTATGTGCTGGATTTTTCTTATTTTGTTGGCGGGGGTTATTTTGAGCCATGGAACTGTTGGAGAAAAATTAGTGTTTGCTTATAAACCCATGACTAAACACTGCTCTTCACTGAGATTGTACATATCTATACTACTACAAGCAGTGTATGAATGTACCATCTCACTCATTCCTTGAATGATCTCTTAGATTGATAATAATGTTTAATAAAAGTTTACCTACTCTGTGTGAGATATACTTTCTAAACCTAAATGTAACACTCATAGTTTTTTTATTCTAATTTATCTTTTAATTTTTTTCTTCCTCAGAGTAATGTGAAATCTTTCTATCGAACTCTTATAAGCTTCTTGGCGCATAGTAGTTTAACTGTGGTTGTGTTTGCACTTTCAATATTATCCAGTTTGACATTAAACGAAGAGGTTGGGGAAAAGGTAAATATGACTTTTTTGTAATTTATGAAAATAATTCTGAAGTTTATATTCTCTGATACTTTAAAAGTCATTGAGTCTCTTTGTTAAGTTTTAGGATGATGTCAACTTAAATTTTGTTTGGATAATATACTTTTCCCAATTTGTTTTTAAGCTATTCCATGCTCGAAACATTCATCAGACTTTTCAGCTAATATTTAATATTCTCATAAACGGTGATGGCACATTAACTAGAAAGTATTCAGTTGATCTACTGATGGATCTTCTTAAGCACCCTAAAATTGCTGATTATCTTACCAGGTATGGCTCTCTGGCAAATTTTAGGACTTTTTCTTTAAACCAAGATGTATTTGTGATAAATAAACCTGCCTTTTTAGAGTTGGTAAACATGGACTTTACTGATTGACAATAGACTAAAATTGAAATGTTTTGATGTGCTTTATTCCCATTCTTTCTGCTTTCCTGGCTGGAAATGTAAAAGTCTAACAAGGGGTGAGTGGGGGTGTATGTTTCTTAGATAAATAAGGTTATGTCATTTTTCAAAAATACACATCTTGATTAATCTGTCCCAAAACTAGTTTTTTGTCTGAACAATATGATTTATCTTATACATAAATCCTTTTTACTGTATTAATTTCATAATTATCATTTGATATATTTTTATTTTAAACCTAGGTATGAGCACTTTTCTTCATGTCTTAATCAAGTATTAGGTCTTCTTAATGGAAAGGATCCTGATTCTTCTTCAAAGGTATACATCACTTTTTGTTTTAAACTTTTTAAAAACTATAATGTACAGAAAAACCTAAGTGCACAGCTCCGTGAACTTTTTCAAACTAAATATAGGCATTTAGCCAGTGTCTAGAGCAAAAAAAAACAATGTAACCAAAACTCTGGAACCCTCCTCAAATCTTTGTGGAAAACTGTTTCATGGTGCCTACTCTACTGAATGTGTATATATTTCATGACATGGTGATTCCACTCCTAGGAGCATAGCCAAGAGACATGTCCATAAGCTCACCAAAGGACATGTAGAAAATGTTGAACAAATAGAAAATTAAATTTTAAACTGATTTCATTTAGTGATTTTTTTTAAAATGTCAGGTGCATAGAGGATAAATCCAATAAAATGTGTACAAGGCTTCTACTCTGAAATTATAAAACATTGAGAGAAAAAAGCCTAAGTAAATATGGTGTACCAGGTTCATAGATTGGAAGACTTCACCATATTAAGTCAATCAAAATTATAGCAGACTAGTTTTTTTGTTTTTGTTTTTGTTTTTGGTGTATGTAAACATTGGAAAGCTGATTATAAACTTCATTATGGATATGCAAAGATCCAAAAATACCATGACTCTCCTGAAAACAAATGAACAAAGTTGAAGGACTTTACTAGTACCAGATATTAAGACTTTATATAAAGCTCCAGTAAGTAATATAGTACAGTACTGTCATAAGGATTGACAGCCAAATGGAACAGGGTACAGTCCAAAACCAAATCCACAGTATATAGTCTCCTGATTAATATCAGTACAGTCTTAATTAAAAGTATCATCATTTCAATAAATGACACTGGGTCAATTGAAAATCCACATGGGAAAAAGCTGAATTGTGAGCCCTACCTCACACCAAATTTGAAAATCAGTTCCAGAAGGATTGTAGCTCTAAATGTGAAAGGTAAATTAACTTTTAGAAGAAACACCTAGCAGAATATCTTCACAGTCTTGGGATAAAAAGATTTTCTTTAACAGAAAATAAAAGCATGAAATATGTAGGGAAAAAACTGATAAGTTGGACTACATTAAAATTAAGAGCTTCTGTTCATGAGAAGACCACTAACAAGAGAGTGAAAAGGCAACTCAGAGTGGGAAAAGTTATCTACAATACATATATTGAACAAAGAACTCTTATCTAAAATGTTTTTTTTAAATTGTACATATGAATAAGAAAAAATTCTGAATCCAGTAGATAACCTGAGCAAAAATTTTTAAAAAATTTTTAATTAGTCAATAAATATGAAATGGTTGCTCAACTTTATTAATCTTCAGGGAAGTGCAGATTTAAGTGGTAATGCAATACCAGTACACAACCACCAGATGGTTAAAATTTAAAATATGATAATATCAAGCATAGATGAGAATGTAAAAGATGTAGAGTGTTGCAGTACTCATAGGCTGAAAATTGGTACAACTATTTATGAAAGCTGGTATTAATCTACTAACATTGAACATATGCATAAACTATGACCCAGCAATTCCACTCTTAAATATTTACCCCAAAGAATTAAATGCATATGTATACCAAAGACATATACAACACATAGCAGTACTATTCCTACTAGCCAAGAATTGTAAACAAACTAAATGCCACTAACAGGCAATGGGCAGATGAACTGTGGTACATTTATACAATGGAATGCTACATAGCAATGAGAATGTGTGAATGCAGCTGCATGCAAAAATACGAATCTCCCTAATAATGCTAAGCTAAAGAAACCAGGTATAAGAGAATACACTGTAAGATTCTATTTATATATGAAGTTCCAAGTCAGTTTTCTTTATATAAATAGGCAAGCTGATTGAAAAATTTATATGGAAATAGAAAGATCCAAGAATAGCTAGGATAAGATTAATCTCCTGTCAGAAGTCTGATGTGGAAGAGTGGTTGGGACATTGTCTAGGAAGGGACACAAAGGAATACTGGAGTTTTAAAAGAATTCTCGTTCTTGACCTAGTTGCTATACAGGTGTATTCACTTCGGGGAAACCATCTAGCCTTGCAGTAGCAATTAATCTGTATGTTATACTTTTGGAGAAAGTGTAAATGAGAAAGTATCTGCTTGTAAGTGCATAACACATGTCTGGTAAGATATAGGAAACTGGTAATATTGTTTGTTGCTTCCAGGGAGTATAGATAAAGGTCAGGCTAGTACCTTTGACTTTGGAACCAAATGAATGTATTACATATTCAGAGACAAATACTACAATTTATGTTTAAAAGAGAATAAGTTGAAGTTTTTTTATCATTTGTTACATAGTAAATGCTAATGGGCTGAATTCAGTTAAAATCAGATAATTATCAGATTGATTAAAGCACAAATTCCAATTATATGTCATTTATAAGAAACAGTTAAAAATAGAAAATAAGTGGATAGGCAAAGAGGTTTTTTTAATGATAAATTGGTAACATGTGGAATAAGGTAGAACTTAACAGCTAATGAACAGGATGATGTGGGATGCTATGTAATGGAATAAGGCTCAGTTGTGAAGCAAGGAAATGAGGTAGAATAGGGAGGCTAAGGGGCGTAATGCCAACATTGTGCAAACATATTACGGAAATAGCCATCCTTAAGCTTTGAAAGCTTTGGGATGCCACTTTTAAATATTATTCTAAAGTAAGCTTTATATCAGTCCTTGAATCTTAGCATGATAACAAGTATTCTTAATTACTACTTTTATTTTTAAATCTTTTTTTCATTTTTAAAACATGTTTGTGCTTTAAAGAAGTTAAGTAAAAAGGTGTATAACATTAGTTGAAGTTGCCCTTTCTTCTTTGGCTCTCTCAGTCCTGTTATCAGAAGCAACTAACATTAACAAAATTTCTGTAACCTTCCAGAATCTAATTACACATTCTGAAAAATAATACTCAGAGAAAAATTGGAAGCAGCTTTTAATCTTTATTTTAGAGTATTTTCTTTAAAAATATATGTCATTTCCAGCTTCATTTTTGGTTGCTTTGTGAATTAAAGTCTAATGAAATTGACATTTAATGAAGACTTTATATTGCACAGGTTTTAGAATTACTTCTTGCCTTCTGTTCAGTGACTCAGCTGCGCCATGTGCTCACAAAGATGATATTTGAACAATCTTCATCTGGCAACACCATTCTGGGAAGTCGTTCTAAGTGTTTAGAACCCACTGTAGCACTACTTCGTTGGGCAAGCCAACCTTTGGATGGATCAGAAAACTGTCCTATTTTAGCACTGGAGTTGTTCAAGGAAATATTTGAGGTAACAGAGATGGAATGATTAACAAATTGACTTTTCCACTTTTATGATCCTCGGTGAACAATTTTTTTTAAAAAATGTTCGTAATAAACTTCCAATTGTTCATATGCTTTAGGAAAACTTCTCATATACTAGACTCCCTATCATTCAGCTACTGAATTTCTTTTTACTGGCAAAGTCACAAATATTAGTGAGGTTTTTTTTATTTTGTTTTTTCACTAAATAGCTTGTATATACTCCTTTCAGTATAATAAGGAAAGGTATTAACTGAGATTTGTATGGTTTTTTGATGTATGACTGTATTTCTTGAAGTCACATTCTGTCTCTCCATCTCAGTAGATATTGTCTACTGTCTTTACTTAGTGGATTAACATAGGAACATTGGGTCCAGTCAGTCAAATGTAGTGGAGCATGTGAGGAAGAAATCCTTTCTGTGCAGGCCATTGCATTCTGATAGATTCTACTATGTAGGTTACTTAGTATTCTCTACTATTTTCCCTGTTTTTATACCCATTCTTCCTACCCCAGTATCTTCCTAGAAAGTTTACCCTCTCATGACTGGGCCCTATTCACAAACAAAATTGTGTATGAGTGATTAAATTTTTAATTAAATATCTGTTACAGGTTATGCATGAATTATTATTTGTTTTATGTTGATCTTGACTGTTCACAATCAGTTTTAGCATTTAAAAAGGCCTTTGAGATTCTTGATGGGAATTATTTGTGATTGTAAAGTATTAACACCAATATCTGTTATTTAGTTATTGTAATTGCATTTAGCAAATTCGGAATATTTGTTTTCAGTACATACCTTCAACTCAGAATAATTTTAAAATCACAGATACAGTCCATTTTAAAAAGTCTTATTTGCATTTGATTAACCCAAAACCTTACTGTTCCTTTGAGGAAAAGTTTGTCACAGCCCTCAAAACTGGATAAAAGGCTAGATTTTAAATAAGAGACATGGGTCAGTGAACTTTTGAAGTAATTACAGTTGACCCTCAAACAACATGGGTTTGAACTGCTTGAGTCCACTAATGTGTGGATTTTTTTCATTAGTAAATACCACAACTACAGTTGGTTGAATCCACTAATGCGGAACTGCGCATACAGAAGGACAGGGTCAGGGCCAACTATATAAGTTATATAAGTCTCAGATTTTCGACTGTGTGAGGGTTGGTGCCCCTAACCTTCACATTGTTCAAATGTCACCTACATAAGAAATTTAAAGAGTTTTGCAGCTCAATAATGACTGCTTATGCATTCTGTGTTCTACTTCTGTTTATTTTTAATCGTTGGTGGTGATTAATTCTCCAGGATGTCATAGATACTGCTAACTGTTCCTCAGCTGACCGTTTTGTGACCCTTCTGCTGCCTACGATTCTTGATCAGCTTCAGTTCACAGAACAAAATATAGATGAGGCCTTAATGAGGAAAAAATGTGAAAGGATGGTCAAGGCCATTGAAGTTTTGTTAAATATCCTTCAGTTATAAACATGGAAACTAAATAACCCTTTTTTCTAGCATTATATTTATTGTACTTTTGACTTTGTTTGTAATTTTGTCATTTCTCATGCTTGTATCTGTTCAGAATGGTAGCACTGATGTTTAAACCATAGAACTAATTCTAAATGAAGAGTCTCCTAGAAAGTTATATAGACTTTTTTCCCCTTGTTTTTCTGTGTAAAACTTTAAAGCTTAAGAACATCTTCAGAAATGCTATTTAAACTTGATTTGTACATTTTTATCATAATTTGAATTAGGAGATATATTTTAAAATACTGCCCTGTCACTCTCCTGATGCTAATTGCTGCCCTGGATGATGTGTGGTGCCATTCTTTGATGGAATATGTCAGAGGAAGAAAGAAACATTGGTAGTTAGCATTATTTTAGCTTAGTTTTTTAACTTGTGTTTTAAAAATTATCACCTCCATAAATGTTTCAATGAAGACAAGATCACACTTGGTTATGAAAAAGACAAATGTTATCAAGACAAATTAATTCATTTCAAGGAAGAAAACCTTTAGCACAATTAGTGCCACTGCTTAACTTCTGTGTACTGATTTTCTTGACTCCTTGTATTAGCTTTTTTTTTTAGATCAACTGATTCTAAGTCTGTAAGAATTCCAAGTCCCATTTTTCGAATTTTTGTTAATAGTTTTTTTATTATCCAGCAAGGAGCCACTATATCTCAATCAGATCTCTCATATTTACTTAGTCAGGTTTTCTTGTATCTTAGAGCAACAAGAGTTTGCTCAACTTTGTCCTGCCCTAGAGCTAACTCCACATCTCTTTAATCTTCTCTCTGGACTGCTGCTTCTTAAATTTTTCTCTTTCTTGGCAGCAGTGATTCTCAATCCTGGCTACATATTAGAATCATCTGGAGAACATTTGAAAATATTGACCCCTGAACCTTATTTCTGATTTAACAGAAGAAATGTGAAACCATGGGGTAGTGGAGTGTTTGTAATTGATTGCTTAAACTACCTATGTGAGTCTAACATGGAATCAAAGTCGAAAACCACTGCTGTGAAGACACATGATTACTTGGCTTGACCTTAGAGATATAAAATATTCGGGCCTTCTCTCAATGAATGGGACCAAACTTGACCCTTTTTTAACGGTAGATATTCAAATTAACTTACAATGTAGAAAGAGAAAATGAGAAATAACAAATGAGAAATAACTTCCCTTATTTCAGCAAATATTTATTGAACCATTGTGATACCTGTTAACAGAAAACTAATATCCAGTAGAAACGCAGATCCTTTCTCTGTTTTACTTTTGAGTCAGAAACTTTTGGTATCAGTCCTATCTCTTTTTTTTTTTTTTCATATATGTACTAAACAGTCCTATCTCTTGCCACTTAACCATTCACTTAAATGCTCTGAGCTCTAGTTTCTTAATCTGTCATTGAGCTAGTGTACCAATAATTACACCAAATGACAGTGACAAGATAATTATGAAATCATTCTAAATGATGTAAAGTGCTGTACAAAATGTAAGGGTTCTTTTGAGAATTTTTTGCTTGTGTTCCTTAATGAAACTTACCTCTATGTGGGGATGATACTCTAAAAATGCATATTGCAAAAATTCTGACTACTATCAAATGTACCACTCTGATAGAACAACAGTTTACATACGGCAAGATTGATCTGGGGTTTGGAACAAAGGTAGCAGATTCTGAATTGTGGTGAGTATATGAAATCCAAATGGCAAAATGGTAAGGCCAAACTTAATAAAAATCAAAATATGTAGTGATTCTCATTCCTTTTGGAGGATGATCCTTGGGGATGTTCTATTAACTCAAGGTTTAGCAGAGAATTAACAAAAATATTTTCATAATGAGTATTTTAAAAATTTAATTCATAGATCACATTCTTCTGAATAGAGATATTAATATCTGTGGTTTGTTTTTCATTGCTTAGGTTTGTCTTGTTTTAATTTACTCTGACTATCTAAAGGTCTTTTATACTCCAGAACATTTTTTTTTTCCTGGAATTCCTTTTTGGCGTTGCCTCTGTAGTTATTTTTATATTCATTTAATTTAATATTTCACAATGAAAAAGCATGAAAAAGAGGGAGGCTTTTTATTTCAAAGAAATCAGTCATTGCTGGAAATAACAAAGGCAACTCTTCTTCATTAGCATGTCAAGGCTTATGGTTAAATGTGGATTTTCACTGATAGTTATGAGATTATTTTACCCCCTCCTCCCACATGAATTAATAAGTCCATCTGACAGATCTTTGTTGAGGACCTGCTAAATACTAAACAATATGATTTGTTCCAATTTCCATAAATGTCTTAATTGTCAGTAATTGTACTCAAGAACAAGAATTATCTCTTTACTTATTTGTAGTCCTGTTCAGTTATAAGACTGAGAAAAAAAGGCTTAATATAATCCATCCCGCAAGTATTAGATATTCTGTACCAACTGCGGTTGCCCTCTGTTGCTGATATTTCAGTGACAAAGCTAAGAATTAAACGGGGCATGTTGTCGATGCTACTAGTAATTTCAAGCAGAAAGTTGAAGCGTGTTGGTATGTGAGATTAGAAAAAGAAACATTGTCTAAACTTGAATTATTAATGCCAGTTCTCTTTGGATCGTGGGTTATAAGAATGTTGTCTGATATTTTTACTTTTCAAAAGAAACAATACTTTATTTTGAGTTTTAAAAACAAAGGTGTTGGTTTTTTATTTTCTTTAGATTTATGGACAAAAATAAGCTCTAAATTAAGCTCTGAGTTATCTAAGTTAAATATGACTTATTTTTAAAGCAAACTTGCTGCTGATGTAATTTTGAAAATTCTTGATTTGATGAACAAGCTTAAACAATTGATCCCTGGCATGGAAGTAAGCTTCTACAAAATCCTTCAGGTGAGTTTAAACTTTTCAAATATTGAAGTTTATTCATACATAAATGCCTCCTAATATATGTTTCTGTTTTAATTCTTAATCTTCATCAGATTAATATTTTTCTTAGAAGTGGCCATTAGAAAAAATGTTTTAAAAATTGTTAATTGTTTAATGTAACTATAACATTCTCACTGTATGGTTATATCACATAGTTTCACAGGAACTGAATGTAAGTGCTCCTGATTCTAATGTATAGGATGTTCGTATAGTAGTGCTTTCATTACCTTTTCCTTTGATGTGTCATATTTCAGGGTTCTTCATTTGTTTCTGTTGGCATTATGGTAGGAGGGGAGTGAAATTTGTTTGGGGTTTTTGTTTTTTGGTTGGAGCTGATGAGGTAGGGTATTAAGGTGATAGGGAGACATCTGGAAGAAAAGGACTTGATTGTGGGTGATAATAAAATTAGAGAGGTGTGCAGAAAATAGCTTACATACAGATTTCAATGATAGTAGTACCTGAATAAGAGCTCTAGATGTTTACCTTGATATCCATAAAACTTGGCTTATAATAAATATTTAACCAACATGTGTGAATTAAGTTACTATAATAAGACAGTTGGCTCCAGTGCTTGTATAGACAGTGTAGAAGCCAGAACTGGAACCTTCGGTGGGGGCCACTAACACACTTTGAGAGAATAATTCTTAAGAGATGAGGTTCAAGTGGTGACTCCATCATCGCCTAGTGCAGACTTGAGAAAGTTATTTCACTTTTCTGAGTTCCAGTTTCCTTGACTATAAAGTAAAAATAATGATTCCCTCTCCATGGAAGGAGTTATGAAGACTTAGCATGGGGGTTTTGGAGACAGAGGCCAGCTTTTGTGGTTCTGTGGCATTAGATTTTACTTGAATACCTGTAAGATTCTTAGCATTGTCAAATATTGATAATTGTAAAGGATTTGTATTTTAATGTTTTTCTCTGTTAACAATTTAACTTTAAAATTGAGTCAAACTGATTTTATGTCAATAATTTTTTTTTCCAGAATAGATGATTTGGGCTTCCAGTACCAATGTAAAATATTTACTGACATGAAGGACTTATACTCTAGTTTTTTATTATTTTATTATATTTATATTTAATTTGTTTTATTCTCACTGAAGTCTTTTCTTGAGTTAACTTGAATTTTACTTTTATTTTTGACTTTAATTTGGAAATGATTAGCCATTTTTTCTTCTAGCCAGTTTTCTTTTAAATGATAGCTAGAAAAATAAAACAATAATTCAAAAAACATCAGTCAGTTGTGGATGGTATTTTAAATTAATCAAAATATCAGAGACATGATTTTTATAGGCAGGGGAGAATTCTACCATTGACCCACCAATGCCCAGCATGGCACAATAAAAGCATTTAAAACCTTTCCCAGATTTTTTAAAGCTAATATTAATATTGATTGTGTAGACAAGTATAACAAGGTAAAACTAATAAATATGTTAAAAAATCAGATAGAAACACTTTAGAATTTGCCTAGAATTATTTTATAATTTAGGCCTATTTACTTACCTTACTCTAAAAGCTATGACATTATTTATTCTTTTTATTTTCTGATTTCTGATTTGCTTAGGATCCTCGCCTGATTACTCCCTTGGCTTTTGCTTTAACATCAGATAATAGAGAAGAAGTGCAATCTGGATTGGGAATATTATTGGAAGCTGCTCCACTGCCAGATTTTCCTGCTTTAGTGTGAGTTATCATTTGCAATGTATCTCTTATGATACTGGGCTATCCTGTCATGTTTCTTGAGTAGTCCTCCACATAGATAGATTGGAAAATTAGTGGATTTAAGACTTCATTGTAATAGTAATTTTTCAAATGAAAAAAAAATGTTTCAATTAAAAAAAAATTTCATCCCCAACTCAGAAGACCAGATGTGTACTCCTTCAGGGAATAGCTAGACCCATCTGGGTGGTTAATTATGTTTATCCAGATGCTACACCTCTCTGTCTCAACACCTCTTTTTGTCATAGTAGCTTCTGGACTAAACTTATATCCTGCCAGTTTAGTTTCTCCATAGAAAGAGCTTTTCCTTCCCAGTTGTTTAAATGATAAGTCTAAGCATCACTTAGGAAGGGACCTTGGCAAATGCCAAGAATTCAGCTGTGAGAACCACATGGACTGAAACTTGGGATAGAGAGGGTGGGTTTCTAAAGAAAAATTATGTTACTATCAGAAGGTGGGATAGACTGGCCAGGCAGAATTATCTACTATACTCATCAATTTCAAACATTAAGAGAATATATGCAATTAGGCTTGAAAAAAAATCAGATTTTCAGGGCTCTCTGTAAACAAAATGGTTGACAAAATGTCTATTAGGTTTCTATTTTAATTTTAATAAGTTGAAGTGGCTTACATAAATGAATTTGCGTAAGTGGTTTGAATGAAGTGAGACAGTTGCCAAGTAGGTAAAACATTCCTGTGTGCCAGAGGTTAGCAAACTCTAGACAGTAGACAGCTTGTTTTTGTGAATAAAATTTTATTAGAACAAAGCCACACCCATTTATTTTTATATGGTCTGTATTGTCTATGTCTACATTCATAGTATGGCATTATGGCTAGGTAGTTGTAACAGAGACAAGATCCTCAAGCCTAAAATACTTAACTGCCCTGTCCTTTAAGAAAAAGTTTGCCAGCCTGTGCTGTTTCTATTAACTGACTGAGCAAACTCATGTTTTCAGAATTAATTTAAAGTCACAAATTAAGAAATGAAGAATTATCGAAAATAAGACCTAAAGACCATATGATCAAAATTCCTTTCATTTTATCATATTTTTTAATAAGTAAATGTATAGATAGGGAGCTTCTCAAGTTACAAGTAGAAGTCTGTGAAGCTGCTTCATTTTGTGGTAGCTTGCTTCCTTCAACGTGGTAATCTGACATGAAGCAAAACCTCCACCTTTCAGAGTGGAAAGTTTCAGTTTCACTGGAAGTGGGAGTCTCATCCTATGTGTCTGAATGTGTGGCCTTCCAATTATTTCACTGTATCTGCCATCCCTCCCTGTCTGTCTTGTGTCCTATAATTTTCTCTTTGGATGCTATCTCAGATGTCCACTTATGTCTGTTTTATTTATGTCCATTTATGTACTTATTTACATTATCTTAGTTTACTAAGATGAATTTATATACTGGATGGGTAGGTGGGTTTTTTTTTAGTGTGTTTGTTTTATTTAAACATTAACAGACATCTGGTGAGGGCTAGCTATGTGCCAGGACCTCTTCTAGGCATTTTGAATACTGCAGTAAGTTAGACAGGAGGCCTTCCATCATGAGGTTTAAATTTTAGTTGGGAGACAAGTTTAAAAAAAAATAATAAGTTTCATAATGCACATGTCCCTACAGGTGCAGGCCTCTGAGGAAGTGAATTTGAACTGAGACCTGATGATAAGAAGGAGCCATTGCTATGCAGATCTAGTGGGAAGAGTGTTCTAGGTACAGGAATAGCTTGTATAAAGGCCCTGAGGCAGGAACAAGATAAATGTAAAGGGCAAAATGGAAGTCAGGTTGGTGAGAACATACTGAGTGAGAAAGGAGAAAGGTGAAGGTAAAGGCCAGGTGATGTTGGCCAGAAGGATGTTCTTGCCACTAACAGTAACTTTGTATTTAATTTTTATAAACAATCCACACTCACAGACTAGTTTCTAGTGCCTCCAAACCAGAGGCGGAGTTGTCATTATAAAGGGTTGTGAGTGTAAAAGAGTTTCCTCTGGCAAATTTAGGATATTTCCCCAAATCCTGCTTCATCATAGATTCTGAGGTTGTTTCAGAAATATTTGAAGACTTATGTCCCCAGAAAGACCTATTCTAAATAAATCTCTGGTTCTGTATAAACTCTGTTTTTCCCTCTATTTTTATATAATTTTTAAAATTTTTGATTCCCATTCAGACTTGGAGAAAGTATAGCAGCAAACAATGCCTATCGACAACAGGAAACAGAACATATGCCCAGAAGAATGCCTTTGCAGTCATTAAATCACAGTTTTCCAACATCAGTAAAATGTTTAACTCCTCCGCTTTTGAAAGAGAGAGTTCCTGGATTGAACATTGAGGAATTAATAGAGAAACTTCAATCTGGAGTGGTGGTGAGTGTTAAATAGCCATTATAAGTGGGATTCTCCCTGGTACATACCAACTAAATATCAGCCCTCATTATAACATTTATTTAAACAACTTTAGATGCAGATTTGATCATTGAAACCTTATCTTTTAATATAAAAAGTAACAATATTCTGGAAAGTGTGGAAAGAAAGAAAAAGTCAGCCATGAAATTCCAATATTTTAACAGAGCTATCATTCTTCCCCTAGTACTCCCCAGCCAGCCTACCATCCCACCACCCCCAACTTAAGAAATACGCTTTAAATTCCCACAAGCATATCTACCCAGATATTCTCCTGCAATAGCCAGGTTAGTGAAATGTTTGTGATCCACCTATATCAATATGACACTCATTTTTTTCCTTTGTTACTAAGTTTTAATGATTTAGTTTCATAGTTGGCATTTTTTTTAATTTGGTTGAGTGATAACACAATTTCTGATTTTCTGCTCTATTAAAACCTAGGTAAAGGATCAAATTAATGATGTGAGAATATCTGACATAATGGATGTATATGAAATGAAACTAACCACATTAGCCGTGAGTACAAGCTTGTTTTAATTAATGTGTAACAATTAAGCTTTAATAGATTGTTTTCTGGTAAATGATGAAGATTAATGGTATGTTTTCTTATAGTCCAAAGAAAGCAGGCTGCAAGATCTCTTGGAAGCAAAAGCTCTGGCCCTTGCACAGGCTGATAGACTGATCGCTCAGTATCGCTGTCAGAGAACTCAAGCTGAGACAGAGGTTTGTACAATATAAAGACATGTCTGATTAGAAGAAAAATAGATGAAGTAAATAAAACATATGCAAAATATTAGTTCTATCTTTTGTACTCTGATTGAAGTAAATTGTCCTTAGCATTTGACACAATTCCTCCCTTTGTCTGGAAACCCCATCCCCTTTAATTTTGGTTACACTATTATCTTCTGATTTTTTTTTCTACCTTAATGGATATTCTTTTCTTATATCCTATATAGGCTTCTTTTTTTTCTACTCACTCTTTAGATGTTGGGTTTTCCAGGGTTATGTTCTCTTATTTAAGAGATTCACAGTTTCAATCATTATTGGAATGTTAATGCCCCCAATTTTATATGCTGGGTTCAGATCCTTTTTCTTAAGCACTAAATGCCTCGTGATAGCTCCATTTAAATATACAGTGAACTCTTCAAACTAAGTGAACAAATACTGAGCTTATGACCCTCTCCTTTTTAAAATTTATTCTGTCTTGTATAGTCCTCTGCTCTTCTTAGAGTTTTCCAAACAAGAAACCTGCAAATCACAGTTTACCCTCTATAATTAGTCATTTACCAAGTTCAGTGGATTGTGCCTTCTAAATATTACTTTTTTCTGCCATATCTCTGTTCTTACCCCTGTTTGCTACAGCCAAATCCTTTTCATGTTTCACATGAATCACAGCAAAGCCTCTACTTAGTCTTCCTACCATTAGTGCTCTCTTACTACCGTCTACATACAGTCAAAAGCATCTCTCTTCTTTATTTGGTCCTACCCTCCCTTCTTCTTCCACAATTATCCCTGAGGCATTTGCTCCTGTGCTGAATATCCTTCAGTGTCTCACTATTTAGCCCAGAAGACAGTTTAAATTCCTTAGAACTTACTGCACAAGGATTCTAACTACTTCTCATTGTACATCTCTTTGCACTTCTTTGCTTTCTCTGCAGTCAGACATATTAGATTGCTCTGCAATTTCTGAAACTTGATGTACTCTTATGTTTTCCTGTCCTTACACTTGCTCTTTCATGTCCGGAATACCTTTTCCTCTTTCTCTGCCTAACTTCTAATAATCCTTCAGATTTTAGTTTTCATACCTTCGTTTCCCAGGAAGTTTTCTCTGGTCGTCTCCTTACCACAATTTTGGTGATCCTCTATGTATTTACCCTGTGCTTCCCTCTTTATAATACTTCTCATACCATGTGAAAATTATATGACCCCCACCTTCATCCTTGATGTTACTGGAGAGGAAAATTTTTCCTCTACCCTTCTAGGTTTTTCTGGCTGGCCTAATAATTAAATTGACAATGAGACAGGTTAACAGGAGAAAAGCCAAGTTCTAAGAATATAAGGTCCAAAGGTCAGTCAGGCAATGGAGACGCTATTTTGAGCTAAGGAGAAGGGAGCAGGGTTCTGGGACTTCAAAAGGGAGGAAGATAATTCACAGGGAGATAGGAAGAGCAGATGTTTGGTAAACAGATGTTTGCTGGGCAGTGTGAAAACAGTGACACAGAGAGTAATTTTAACAAACAAGACTATGCCAGGTTCCTCTCTGTCTACCACTCCTAGTTCATGTCATACTGTAGTTATCTGGTGTAGCTCCCTTCCTGGAATAGTCCCCTATCTAAATTCTTTGGGGCAGTTAGGGGGAGGGTCAAAGGTACTTCCTGCGTCTTTTACACCTTGATTATTTTCAGCTTAAAATAATCTGTGTGCCAAAGTAGCACATTTTGGGGTGATAGATTTTGCTCCCCTACCATGTCAGACTATTTCTGTGTCTTCAGGCCCTAACACAGTGCTTGGCACATGGCAGATGCTCAGTTTGGCATTGTGCTATGTATATAATATATGCCTTATGAGTGATAACTTTCTGCAGTAATATGAAATTCTCAGCAGATACAGATGGAATCTAGGCAACTTGATTTCATTTGTAATGATTTATAATATAATCCTTTGACTTTTAAAAGAGGCATTACAATCAATGACAAAATACCTTTTAAATATTTTCAGAGTAAATGTATTCTAAAAAGTATAAATAAACATAATCATTTTCCCCCTTTTTTCTTGTCCTAACATGAATTTTTATCTTGAGTGATGGTGTGTTGAATTTATCATGAATTGCAATAAAGAAAATTAGAGATAGTAAAATAATATTTTTCCTCTCCCTTCTCAAAGCATTGGACATGTCTTTTATCTTACTGAAGAATTTAATGTTGTATCCATTTTACTGGATAGGCTTCTTCTAAAAATAACACTAAATAATTGGATATTACTGCTTTTTTACAGACTCTGTCATAAAAACAGGGATTTAGGTTTTCATGACATTTTCAAAATAACTATTTTTTGTCTAAAGAGAGGGGAAAGTCTACTTCTCATTCTAGTTACTTTCCTGCTGCTTTAATGTTTCATGTCACAGATACTTTCATATTAAATCTAGGTTGTGTTCCCTGATTGTGTTAGCTTAATTTTTAAGTGTGTGCTTAAGCATCTGTGATGTAGTTAACATCTTCTTCTTAATTTTTATCTGATATGGGAAAACTGATGTGTGCAGACTTCATGGTTTAGTGTTGATGGCTAGCCCCAAAGACCATACCCTTTTAATTGAGCACTGTATCTGGAGCTACCTTCGTGTTATGATTATGTTCATTTCCATGAATCTGGTCATCCCAAGATTGCTTTGGTAGAACAGTATACTAATTTAAAAACTGTAACAGTGTCAGATTTATTAGAAGCAGTTAAGTAATAATAAGTATATATGACTAACATAATAAGTTTAATTAACCCAGTAGATGCTTGCCTACTAGATATTTAGTAAATATTTTAAGTTGTAGAAACAGAGCATATTATATAAATGATAGTGGAAGAGTCTCTTACTGCATTTTCTCTTAGGCACGGACACTTGCTGGTATGTTGAGAGACGTTGAGAGAAAAAACGAAGAGCTTGGTGTGTTGCTGAAGTCACAGCAGGTTGAATCGGAAAGAGCCCAGAGTGATATTGAGCATCTCTTTCAACATAATAGGAAGTTAGAGTCTGTGGCTGAAGAACATGAAGTACTGACAAAATCCTACATGGAACTTCTTCAGAGGTAAATTAATAAAGTAAAAGTTACTGCATAGGGTTAAAATCTAGAGTGAACCGACAGCATTTCTTTTCTGTGTCCCTAAAATCCTTGTGTGAATGTTCATGTATTCTGATAATTCTATTGTAAGGTAAGTAGTTAATAAGAAGCTTATGTCAGTCATAGTGAAATGAAGTACTGCTTACTCAGACTCAGGATCACAGTTGGAAACGGAATACAGATCTCTCTTCCTGGTTGACTCTACTTTCGTTTATTCAGTCATTAGTCATCTGGGGTGTTAGCGCCACAAGGACAAATTCCATCTGTTTTGTTCACTGACAAATCCCTAGGGCCTAGAACAGTGCTTGATACATGGTTAGGCACTCCATAAATAATTGTTGAATGACCTTAGTTGTCAGAATTCATATTAGGTTGAACGATACGAATTAGCATTTCTGTAAATCAAAAATGGTTGAATAATTAACAGTTCTCATATCATTCAGCCAAATAACATAGAAATTTGGGTGTTAGTATCTAACTCATCTCTTAATTTGTCCTTTAATGTCCTTGAACATAGTTTGCTTATATGTATGACCACATCTGCAGAATAAATTCTTATGGGTTGAATTGCTGATTTAAAGGGTATGTGCTTTTAAATTTTTGATAGATTGCCAAGTTTCCCTCCAAAAAGGCTATGCCAATTTATACACCTCTTGACAAAGTGTGAGACTGATCATTTTTCCCTCCCTTGTCAAACTTTTTTATCTTTTAGGCCAGTTTTAAAATATATGAATTATAAGGAGGACCAGGAACAGTTGTATATTTTCTACCAAACAATAGAAATAAAAACACTCTAATTAACTTGTTTCTTATTTTTCTTTATACTTTAAGATTGGTTAAGATTTGAAAAAAAATGTTCTTCTTTCTGTGGTATTAATATAGAGATGTAAAATTTTTAACTTTGCAAGATCTCTGCTTATTTTGTTTGCCTATCAATAAAAATGAAAGGTGGAAAATGTATAGCATCTGGAAAGTTTGTGAGGACAAGGTGATTTCTAAACAGGATATTTTCCCCCAAGAACAACTTTTTCCAAAGTCTGATTATTTGAGGCAGCCCTGAAAAAGTGGATTGTTAGTTTTAAGTCAGGCTGTAAGAGAAATGAGGCAGTGGTCCAAGAGAAATATGGACTTCCTAGGACCTGCTTATGTTCCAGATAGTAATTGAGGAGCCCAGAAATAAAACTGCCTTGAGGGGGCCAGGTGGATAACAAATGAATGAAGCTGGCTTGGGAAGGTCATTTGTAATGATAGGAACTTTGTAAAGGCATTAAATTCAGAATTTTAAAAACTCTGTGTGGGACAAATAAAACACTTGGCTGGCCAAATTTGGCCAGTGCCACTAGTTTGTTTATCTTTGTACTCAGTGAAGTAAAAAGGATATTTTATGTTTTTAAGATAATTGGGTGTCAAAGTATCACTTTGGAAAGGATTTTTTGTTTAGCTTGCAGGTAAAATAAGCAGGACTATTAGATGCAGACTTTGAAGAGGCAAGAAAAACAAAATCCTCAACCACTTAATTCATTAGTTTGACATTTTTAATTAAACATGTATTATGCCCAAGAGGCTAGTGATGATAGGTGTAAGTTTTATCTTTTTTCAAGACCTCATTCTTTTACAGAAGTTGTTTCAATTTCTGGACTTAACTATAAAGATAGAAGCATGTATTTTATAGCAAATTGTGTAATGCAATGTTATCTGTAAATAAAGCTCTATATCCATAAATATGTAGGTAATGCCCCACACATTTCCATTTCATAGTAATTTTTACCTCCTCAGTCAGCCAGAACATATGTATCTTTATTGTCTTTTAGAGTTACTCTGTTTATGTCCTGTTTGTTCATATAACATTCCTCCTCTTCCATGCAGCTTATGAAATTTGGTCAGAAGAAATAGTAAAGAAGACACTCTGAGTTTCTTTTCTCTATTCTCTGTTTTCCTTCATAAAAATACCAACTCATCTCCTTGTCTTTTCAGGAACGAAACTGCTGAAAAGAAGAACAAAGATTTACGCATCACATGTGATTCTCTGAATAAACAAATTGAGACAGTGAAAAAGTTGAATGAGTCACTCAAGCAACAAAATGAAAAGTAAAATCTCTAGTTGTCTACTCTAATTATTTTGTGTTTTTCAAAAACAAAATGATTCAGTTTACTAAGAACATTGTTTTTTTTTTAATTTTTTTGACTGAAGTATAGTCAGTTTACAGTGTTACGTCGATTCAAAAAGATACATGCACCCTAAGTTCATAGCAGCACTATTTACAAAAGCCAAGACATATAACATTGCTTTTTGTAGATAAAATTAATAGAATTATCACTGTTTTAGATATAAAGTACATATTTGGCAGAATCAAAGGGTAACTACTATTCTTATGAATTTCCTCTTAAACTACTTGTTGGGAAGAAAAATGATACAGTTCATTTATGTTTTCTTCTACTTTTTTTTATAACTTTAGAACTATTGCTCAATTAATAGAGAAAGAAGAACAGAGAAAAGAAGTACAGAATCAACTAATAGACAGAGAATGTAAACTAGCAAGTAAGTAGCTTATTTAATAAACTGTATTTTAACACATCTTGTGCTGGAAGAAAATCAAAGCATGAGTGGCTTTTAGTATTCTTGTTCATTATGTTCTATTCTCATTTTTTCAAACCTTAAATCACATCTTAAATAGCTCTCCTTTTCCTGCCATAACATTTCACAAAGCAGTTTAGTTAGATTGATCAAATTGAAAAAATAATACATTTTTTTTTGAAATCTGAATTATATGGAATGATTACCCTATCTAAAATTAAAAAAAAAAATTAAAGGAACATACAGCAGGTGGCAGTGCTAGGTAGCTTTTAGTTACTAGCTTCTTAATGGTAGTAATGCTGAAATGATCATCAAAAACATTAACTCACTTCCCTTAGAGCACAGACATCTACCTATATAATTTTTCATAGTTTTGCCCTTTCTTTTTTCATCCTTAAATCTGAGGATATCTTTTCCCTTCATTACTATATATCATATTTACAACAAGGGAAGAGGGAAAGACATGGAGATTTGGCATTTTCTATAGAATACTGGCATAGGGGGAAGAGTTTCTTGATGGTTTTTTTAATTCATCAAGTACTGTAAAACTTTTATTTCCAGCAAGATACTGCTTCTTCTTTGTAGTTGTCTTTCTTTTGTTCTTATAATAGCTTCTAAACCTTTTCAGGGTAATGTCAGTATAGGACCTTTGAATATATAGCTGACTGTTTGTCTGTTTTAAGACCTAGAACAAAAAATAAAAGTACAAGAGGAAAAGATTAAAGTCCTACAAAGAGAAAGGGAAGATAAAGAAGAAACCATTGATGTCCTTAGAAAAGAATTAAATAGAACAGAACAAATAAGAAAAGAACTGAGCATTAAGGTAAGAATCTGTTGCATTCTCATTTGCAATGAAATTAAAAAGTCTTATTTTGTGAAAAAGGTGAATTTGGATAAATTTATGTTGTTTCTTAAGTAATTTTGTTTAGGAGATAATAGAATCTAAGAGTGATTTGACAGTTGTTTGTTATGAGGGCTCTCTCACACTGTGAAAACTTGTATTTCCTAAAATTGTTACATATTAATTAAATGTGTGCTGTGTTCCAGCACTTGCTGCTTTCAAGGGGGCAAAGAATACAAAGGGGTTCCCAGTTCTTGATGTCACATACAAATGGCTACCTGTATGTATGTATACAGCTGCAACTCTCTGCTTGTAGGGATGGTGATAATAGTAATAGTACTTCATATTTGTTTGGAACTTTATAATTTGCAAAGGATCTCCTTGAAATATTTTATTAATCTTCTTTACTTTAACAAATATGTTAATATATAAGTATTAAGTATTAAAAAATATTTTCATCCTACAAATGAAACTGAGTCTTGGGTTAAGTTACTTGCTCAAGGTTAGTCACATAGCTAAGTGAAAAAGTTGACTTACATAATCTGAATCTAAGTCCAGTGATCTGTCTACATTATCATGCTTGCTTCGGTGTGGTAGCTATGAATAGACCATCTACTACCAGGAAGACAAGAACAGACCAAGATTAAAAGGTGAAAAACTACAGAGCATAAGTGACAGAAGAGGCATAACATTTACAGATTTCCTGTTTCTGCTTTAATGTGGTTATCTTAACAGTATTTCTACATAGTAATTTGTAGTAATTTCTGCAAAATTTCAGCTGCTAGCATTGACTTAAAAATACGAATGTTTCTTCCCAATTTGTATTGTTCAAGATTACTTAAAGTTACCACATAATTGTTGACTAAGTTATAGCACATATGTATGTCTTTTGATACGATTGTCTTACAAACAAAAAATAAGGACATCTTTAAGTGTGTTTCTGTGAAGAGAAAACATGTTGTTTATTTGTTTTGTTCAATTTCTTCCCCTACTTCCACCCCTCGTCCTTAGGCTTCCTCCCTAGAGGTTCAAAAGGCCCAATTAGAAGGTCGTTTGGAAGAGAAAGAGTCGCTGGTGAAACTTCAGCAAGAGGAATTGAACAAACACTCTCATATGATAGCAATGATCCACAGTTTAAGTGGTGGAAAAATAAGTCCAGAAACTGTGAATCTCAGCATATAGACATAATGTATTTATCTACTGGGAAGGTGGGGCAAGGAAGGTAATTTGTGACTCCAAAACAATAGCAAAGTATTATCTAATGACTAATTTAGTAAAGAACCTGATCTGACACATGTTTTTACTTGGTCTTAAAGTTTTACTTTCTGTTTCTGGATTTTATTGCTTAAAGCTTTCTTTGGTTCTTACTTTGGAATATTCTTCTTAACCTCCATTATTGTTTTTTCTGAAGGTTTTTCCTTTTCCTTAATTGTTTTCCACTCTCTTCTGCTTGTTATATTTATTCTCATTATGATTAGATTTTAAAACAGACATCAGTAATTTATTTTTCTTGCCAGTTTTACTGAGATATAATTGACAGACATCATGAAACGATGACTGCAACAGGTTTAGTGAACATCCATCATCTCACATAGATACAACATTGAAGAAATAGAAAAAACAAATGTTTCCTGGTGATGAGAACCCTTAGGATTTACTCTGTTAACAACTTCCATATTATAAGGCAAAGCAGTGTTAATTATATTTAACATGTACCTTACATCTCTGGTATGTATTTATCTTATGACTGGAAGTATGTACTTTTTGACTACCTTCATTTGAGTCCACTACCCTCACTCAGTGAATTTAAGATAACTTTATTACTGCATTTAAAATGTAGTAAGATACATGATATAGATTCTAAACTTTTTAAAAATGCAATGAATATTTACAGAAATGGTGTATAAAAATTAGAAAACAGCTCGTGTTAAGTGACTACATTGTCACATAAAAAACTATAACCTGTAGAATTATTTATGGATAGCTTCAGTTTTACTCTCTGAAATGTTGCACATTGACCTACCCTTATCATTTTTAATTAATTATGATTTTATAATTTACATACAGATAGCTTGGATTCTACCCTTGCTACATATTGAGAAACATATTTGTTGTTAATTTTGATGTGAATTTCATTTAATATAGTCTTTCATTTAAATAGCTTTCAATTAGGCCATTGAATTTTAAAGCATAAGTTAAATATCCTCATTCATGTATTAAATACAAGGGAATTTTTCAGGATTCTTTATTGAATCGAATGTTCTAAGCAGTAGTTAAAAAGTTTTCATACTAATGCTTTAGTTGATTTTATTGCTATACTCTGACAACCATTGGCTGTACTTGGTGCTTTCTTCACTATTTGTATCTCTCTTTGACTTAAGCAAACCTTAGATTTACTTCTGTTTTTCAACCGTATATCTAAATTTATATTTAGAAATTAAACATAAATATATTTTCATAATTCACTAATTATATTAAATATCAGATAATGGTTTTATGTATTTGTATACATTTTGTGCAGACTTTTTAAAAAAGCATTATGCTGTGTAGCATTTTAAATTGATACTCATTCTTTAAGGGGTACATTCTATTTCTCTTTTGAAACTGCATGCATTTTCAATTTAATATGAAAATGTTTAAATGGATAGATGTGACTGAAGAGCAAAAGGCTCTGTAAAAATAAAAACCAACAAGTTCTGTAAAATAAATAAATGGACCAAAAAGCTCTAGGGAAAATCAAGCTCACTTTATAATTTAGACATCTCAAGACACTGAGCCCAGCTCAGTGCTGCCCAATAGAACTTTTTTGTGATGATGGAAGTGTTCTGTATTTACATTCTCCAATACCAAAGCCTTTAGCCACATGTGACTATTGGGCACTTAAAATGTGGCTAGTACAATGGAAGAACTGAATTTTTAATTTTGTTTAATTTGAATTGCCATCCTACTGGACAGTGCAGATCTAGTCCATTCTTGCAAGTGTGCATTTATTTAACCCATTCAGTATGCCTATTCTTAAAGACCTATATAAGCAGAGAGTCTGTATATGTTTCAGCCTTTTTTTAAGTAACAATCATTTTAACCTGTTAATCCTAATCTCCTCTCTGAAGAGGAAGAATTATATTTCAGCTTTAAAGGTGAGTACTAATCATCACTCTTCTTCACATTTTTTTTCCTAGTCTTTCTGTCTCTTGTAGCATCTTTCATATTGTTCCTATTGTTTTTCTTGACCTTACTACATTGGGCATTGGGTACTTTGTTTTGTTTTGTTTTTGGTTCCATGTACCTCAGATTAAAAACGAGTATATGTGTATATGTGTGTGTATTTTTTTCTTCTTTTTAAAAGTATTTTAAGCAAGTTTGAGCCACTACCATAAGTCAGGGCTTTATAAGTGATTTCTATGTGTGTGCACCCATTTCCTAATGGAGAGAAAAAACTAAGTAAATGCTTCATTATATTAGAATTGTTCAAATTCTCTAAAAATTTTGCGATGAAGAGTTTGAATTCAAATATATGTTAACACAGTTCCTTATATCATTTGCATTTGCTTTCCTTAAAATTTGGGTAATTGGAGTTTATACTAAACTGCCATCTATTTAATGTCAGGGCAAAAAAATACTCATTAAAACTTAATGCTGTATTTGGGGGGAAATTGTCAGATTAATTACCTTTCAGCTTTATTTATGTTATAAAGAGTAGTTATTTACATTAAGGATATAATGAGATTGTCTTGAATAGGGACTATAAGTTAAATGAAAATGTGCCTGAATTTCAACTTCTACTTGAAGCTTATTCATATATGTTACAGGTACCTCTAATCAAGGTGTATTTCCTAAAAAACACATGACCTTATTTTACTTTGGTTTTTTTTTTCTTTTCCTCTTTTCAGTTATGAATTGTATTTACAACTTTGTTTTTGACTTACCTACTGTTAGACAATACACATGTTCTGTTTGTGACTTAATTCTTTTGCAGGAATCAGCAAACATTTTCTGTAAAGGACCAGGTAGTAAATATTTCAGGCTTCGTGAGACTTAACAGTCTCTCCTACAATTACTCATCTCTGCAATTGTAGCATGAAAGCAGCTATCCACAGTATGTAAATAAATGGGCAGGGCCATGTTCCAATCAAATTTTATTTACAAAAACAATTAAAGCTTTGCTGTTAAATGTTGTATCTTATTACTGATTAATTTGACCCTTTTACCATTAAGAAATATATCTCTTTATCTTTGGTAATCTTTGTCTTGTCATCTATTTTATTTGATATTTATATAGCTACTCTAACCTTTATGCTTTCTTTTGGCCTGGTATATTCTTTTTTTTTTTAACAGTTTACTTTTATCCTGTGTCTTTGTTTATAAAGTGCGTAACTTGTGGATAGTATGTTGTTTGGGGTCTTGCTTTTTTTTTTAAACCTATTTTTGACAAGTAAGTCCTTAACTTTCACAGTTCACTTGGAGTTAGTATTGCACTACTTAATGTAAAATGTAGAAACCTTACAACTCTGTGGGTCCTTTTATCCTCTCCTTATCCTTTATGCTTAAGCATTATTGACCCCCAAAGCAATATTTGATTTTTTTGCTTTAAAACAATTATACAGAAATGCCTTTCAACACCATACTGTATTTACCTATTTGCACACAATAATACACACAAAGTGGTGTCTTCAATGTAACATTACTTGTTTTTTCCCTTTGGAAATAATAAGTAACTTATGGGAAGATACTACAAATACACTGTTTCTTCCAACTTTCACTCAATGGTTTTAGTGTCCATTGAGATTCTCGCTTGAATCTGTCATTACTCTGATGGTTGTCAAATGGTTATTTTCTTCCACTTTTTTAATGGAAGTATACTGAATATTTTCTTAATATTATGATATACTGGGAATAGCAATTGAAATTGCATTATTACATTGTTGACAAAATTTAAATATAGTGCTTACAGTTTTATAACTCATAGAGTATGTACTTTTTTGTGTGCATATTCTCACAAGCCAAGAATTTGGGATTTGTTTTCTGTAGTTTAAGAGAATAAATAATATGTATGTTAAGCATATTGAATATTTTTTTAAACCACAGGGCCTTTTTGATATTATTTTCCTTCCCAGACCCCCTAATTTGAGAATTGTTCATTTAGGTCTTAAGATTCTATTTTAGTCACTTGCCTTGACTCTCTCAGTGATCTCCAGTAAATACTAAATGCATATTGGCCATAATGATAAATAAATCTTTTGGGTTAAGAAACTATTTTCAGCATTCAGTGAGCTTACACTCAAGATAATAAATTTTTAAAAAAGAATTAAAATGAACAAATAAACAACATGACCTATACCTTTGAAAGGTAGATGGTTTATTTAATTTTTATAATATAGATAATGAGCCTGATAAGCATTTGAAATTATATGCCTCTGTAATCCATAAATTGAGAGGAAACATTATAAAAATAAAAAAATCATGAGTTCTTTTGAATCTGCAAATTGTTTTAAAATCACATAGTCTTACTCTACTTAGCATTTTGTAGCTAACTGACTTCCTTCCTATTGTGCAAAAAGGCCTGTTTTGTCTATGCTTGTGTTTATCAAAGCATTTCAAAAATACCCTAGAGAAAACTTAATTATCACCATGAATGAAGAGGTACCATAATTCACAGAACCCAGCTCTTTTGCACATTGAGCTACAAATAGCCCTTCAAAACGGAATTAAATGTGAGGAGCAGAAATGGGTATCTTTTTTCCCAATTAAATGCACTGTTTTAGTTATCTAATTCCCCAAGGACCTAGCATTCATATGTTCTTGGTCTTTCAAAAAACATAGATAATCCTAGGATACATAGCAAAGGGCTTTTTTATCCAGCCAGTGCTGCATAAGAGAATGACATTTTCAAAGTCAATAGAGTAGACTAAGTTACAGTTTCATTATGTTATTAAAAACTGATATTTCACTAAGTAGCTGAGCATTTGGCAGGAATTTAGTAGTGAACATGATTCTGCCTCTCAGTTACATTATCTACACTCCTATTCCAAGAGTTATATTTCATCTCACTTAGCCAAAAGATACAGTGCATTAGAGTAGTCTCATGCTTTTCTCGAACTTCAAATAAAAAGGCTTACGACTAGCCCTTGGAAAAGACAACATAGTTATGTTCAGTTTGACAGGGTTTTTCTTTACCCACAAATAAAGACTAGTATTTACTACAGACTAATTTGTGTAAAACTAACAGTAATCAGCATGTTAGAACTGGATTTTTAAAGAACAGTGAGCCCAGACCCTTTGAGTTTCACAAAGATACTTAATACTGCATTTTATATTGCATTTTCAGAAAAGAGGCCCAATGATTCAAACACAAACTGATATGTGATTAAAGAACATGTATTATGGGCAGTTTCACCTCTGGAAATTTATCTTAAGGAAATAAGGATATGTACTAAGATTTAGGTACAGTAATATTATTGCAGTGTTTATTGTGGCACAAAATTGGAGACAGTCCATGTGTACAGTCAGAGGAGATTAATCAATCATGTGTAAGTACAGTCATTCAATAGAATAATGTGTAACCTTTTTAAAAAGATACTGAAATATTTACATGGAAAGAGGTTCCTATTGTGTTAAGTGGAGGAAGCAGGAAGCCACTGATTCACTTATCTGCATATCGCTAAGATATATAGGTATGTATAAATATGTAGGTATACATACGTTTATTCTAAATGGTGAACAGTGGTTGCCTCTGAGTAATGAAATTAAGTTTGAATTTGTTGTTTACTTCTAAAATTTTTAAATAAGTGTTACTTTAATGTTTTAAAACCATGTTTCAAAATACAAGTTTTGTAACCACATCTAAATTTAACTTCTGGGTCTACCTAAGGAAAGTGTCATCTGTAAAATGAGGATAATATGTACTTTATAGTATTGTTACATTTTAAAATATACAAATAAAGGTCATGGCATTTAGTAGTTTTTCAGGAAATGTTTATCTAAACCCTTTTAGAAGAATGGAATAGAAACCTTTAGTTCCTTTGTCCATAGTTTCTAAGTTCTCCTCAAACCTGTGGGCTGTTGTAAAAAGTAAAATTAATGGTAAAGATTCTCCTTTTTCAAAATTAGTGCAGGGTTAGTACTAGAAGTTAAATCAAAGTATTCTTGTCTACAGCTAGGATAACAATTTTATTGACTAAAGCTAGTCTAGGTTGCTCTTCTACTTAATTTACTTCTATTATAGCTGTTCTTAGCAGTATTAAGGTAAACATTTTTCTCTTTGAAAGAAGTATCTTTTCATACTTGAAATTAGCCCTCAATGATGTCACAGCCTTTTCCAACTGATGAATATATTTACTAAATTCATTGTGAATTTGTACATTGTTATTTAATTTCCTGGAAGAGAGGATGAAGGAAAGACATAGTTGAGAAAAGTCTGCCAAATTTTAGTAACAAAATAACACGTCTAGGATTTGGAATCTGTTATATCCCTAGCTCTTTTGACAGACTTACTGATGCTAAAAGAAAATAAGCTTTAAAAAGATACTTGTTTACTTAAGCCACGTATGTGTAATAGCCTCACTGATTTTCCACTTAATGTAAATTAGTTTATTCTATGTTAATATTTCTATGTAGAAATGTCATTTTCATATTAATATTAGCCTCTTTAAAGAAGTCCAAACATGTTTAGGGCCATGTATCCTAAAGAAAAGATTTATGCATTGTGTTTACAGAGATAATGAAAATATAAGCCTTTAGTTGTACTATCAAGGAAGAGTTACAAGAATATTGGAAATTTGTATAGTATTAAGAGGAGAGATAACATAGTAATACATGTTTGAAACCGGCTGTGTAGAAATACTAAGAGAATAAGCAAGGTCACCCTGAGCCATTTAGTCTGAGTGGCATTTCCTGCAAATACCCTTGAGCTTAGACTGATTGAAGCCATGACTTGAACTGCTGCTGTCTTTGAGCTACTAATCTGAATGAAAGACTCAAGGTATTGATGTTGTGGATTGACCTAGGTAGTAAAATGTCTCATTTTCTATGATGCCTGGGTGGGTACTTAACTTCTGATCATTCTGCGAATATTTCCAGGAGCCGTGTTTCTTTGTATGGTTAGTTCAATGCTGATTTCATATTAATCAAATGTACTGTGGACAATAGTAGCACCTTAGTTTTAACAACTGTGAGTGAGATTCTCTATTTGAGGAAGGAGTGGGGGAAATAAATAGATTATGTAAGCACATAGTACAAAATTTAAGAAAAGATACTTCGACTTCCAGTTTCCGCTTCAAACATGTAAAGAGCTTGGAAGTTGTCTTTCCCACACTCACGAGAAAAAAGCTGAATGAATGGAAAAAAATCAGTATTTTTTTCTTAGATTCATCAGAGGATTGAGGTCACAGGACTAACCACCACCTCAAAACTGGAGAGACAAACACTACAGAGAATATAGATCAACTTATCTACAGCGAAAGTGTGGTAGGAACACTTAATAACTTTGATTAATTGCTGGAGGCTGTACAGGTGAACATGCTTGAGAGTTATAAACTCCTGGGAACCCCATACTTTTAACATGTTCCTGAGTTTTACTTCTGGGACCCCCACCAGGTTCTCATGTAAAGATCAGAGGAAACTCCTCCCATGTTTGGCCAGGTGGAGAAGGAAAGTAATCCTTTTGAAATAAGCCCCGGACATTTTCTATAACAAAGTTCTATCTAACAAGGAAAAACTCCCTGGAGCCTTATCAGACTTGGGGGAAGGATAATTACCTAACTCTTGCCCCTTTTAGCCTTCAGGTCTCACCTAAGGGAGAAACAAAGCTGAGAAGCACTTATAACAGTTATATCCCAGGGCCACAGGCCCACTAAATCAAAGAGTGGTCATCACTACTGATCCTGTGAATATGAAAAGATAGTGAAGGAATATTATGAGCATCTCTGTGCCTACAAATTTAATGACTTAGATGAAATGGGCCCATTTCTTGAAAGACACACGCTACTAAAATTCACACAGGAGAAAAGGATACTATGAATAGCACTGTATCAAAGAAATTAAAGCAATAATTACTAACCTTCCAAAACAGCATCAGACCAAGATGGTTTCACTGGTGAATTCTACTAAACATTTAAGAGAAATGACACAAATTCTCTACATTCCCTTCCAGAATATAGAAGCATTATCATTCTATGAGGCCATCATTACCCTAAGACTAAAACCAACAAGTAAGGAAGGAAAACTATAGATCAACATCTCATGAACATAGATCAGGCATACATTGGATATATCGCAAGTTCTGTTCCAGACCACTGCTAATAAAGCAAATATAACAGTAAAGTGAGTCACTAATTTTTTGGCTTTCCAGTGCATATAAAAGTTACATTTATACCCTAGTATGTGTGCAATAGCATTATGTCTAAAAAATGTACATAATTTAAAAATAGAAAACAAAAAACAAATTTTAATACTAACAGCAAAGATCACAGATCACCAAAAAAATACAATAATGGAAAAGTTTGAAATATTGTGAGAATTATCAAAATGTTACATAGAGGCACAAAGTGAGCAAATGCTGTTGGAAAAATAGTGCTGATAGAATTGCTCAAAGCATGGTTGCCACAAACCAATTTGTCCAAAAATGCAGCATCTGGGAAGTGCAATAAAGTGAAAAAATAAAATCCTGCACAAAAATCCTCAACAAAAATTAGCAAATTGAATCCAATAATGTTTTAAAAGAATCATAAGCCACAACCAAAGATGATTTAATAAACTGTTACATCCGTTACAATGGAATATTATTCAGCAATAAAAAGAAATGAGATCTCAAGCCATGAAAAGACATGGAGGAAACTTAAATGCATATTACCAAGTGAAAGAAGCCAGTCTGAAAGTCTACATAGTGTATGATTCTGAAAAATTAATAAACAAATTGCAATTAAAATACAGTTGAGAGGCCAGAATGGGGAGTGCTCATACCCTATGACAACAGCAGAGCCCAACAGTTCTTTCTGGCCAACAGCTCAACCAATCAGAAGCCATGGACTCTTTGTTTACTATAGCCCTCCCAATTTTCTTTTCCTTTCTGTAAAAGAGCTCCTTTACTGTGGGGACTTGTATGTGTCTCACCATAGCAAACCAGAAATTGTAACTCTTTATTGATCCCAAATAAACCAATTTTTGTTAGGTAAATAACTGGTAGTCTTTTCTGGGTCACAATTTCAACCACATGACGTACTGCAAAAGTGAAAACTATAGCAACAGTAAACAGCAGTGTTTGCCAGAGCTGGGGGTGTGAATAGCTGAGAGGATTGATAAAAAGGTGGAGCATAGGAACTTTTTAGTGCAGTGAAACGATCTGTATGATACTGCAATAGTGGGTACATGACATTCACTTGTCAAAATAATTCCATGAAACTGCAACACAGAGTGAACCTTAATGTAAACTGTAAATTATGGTTATATCAGTATTGGTGCATTAATTGTAATAAATATACCACACTTATGCATGGTGTAAATGTACCATGAGGTAGGTAAGTATATGAACTCTACCTGCATAATTATTCTCTACGTCTAAAACTATACTAAAAATATATTATTTTTTAAATGTAAAAAGAAAATAGATACATGGTTATCCCTTTTACGCACTTCTCTTAGCCATCTGTTCCCCACCACAGAGATGTTCATTTGTTACCAGTTTCTTTATGTAGTCTTAAAGAAAGTTACAGTACATACAAACATGTATATGCATATGCATGTTTTTGGTGGGTTACAGAAGTGAAAATGTTCTATACATATCGTTCTATACCTTCCCTTTCTCACCATGCAATATCTAGGAAAATGTTCCAGGGTATCAGCACACAGCTTCTTGATCTTTTTGACAATTTCATAATATTTCACTGATAGATATGCTATTGTTACTCAACTCATATTAGTGAATAGAAATTATTTTTCATCTTTTACTGTAATGAAGACTGATATTAATATCTTTATACAAATGTCATTTGAAGCAGAATTACTCGGTCCAGATGTACGTGCACTTAAAAATATCCCATCGGTAATGTTTGTTTCCCCACATCCTCATCATTTTATTGTAATCAAACATCAGTTATTCTGGTATTAAACTTTTTATGACTGTCATACATGTAAAAATTACTTTATTTTTGTTTCATTTTCTGTGAACTGCTTAATCCCTTTCCAGTTTTTCTCTTGGGTTATCCATCATTTCCTTATCAGATTGCAGGCAATGTTTAGTAAGTAAATTTTCCAACTACCTATGATTAAAAATTGCAAATATTTTCCCCAGATAGTTTTCTGACTTTTGTTTATGATGTATTTTTTCTATGAAGATTTTTTTTTAATTTTAACCTTTTCTTATTTTTACTTTGCAGCTTGAAAATGTTTTAGTATTTAATGGAGCTAATCTCTCATTTTTTATTTAAGAATTTTCCTGAATATACTTGTTCATTAGTTTTTTCCATGTTATTTTAGAATCATCTTGTTTATTTAAAAATTTTTTTGACTTTTTATTTGAATAATGTTAGATTTACAGATTACTTAGAATTGACATCTCTATAATGTTAAGTCAATTCTTCTGAAACATGATATGCCTTTCCATGGATTCAAGTCTTTTACCTTCCATAATATTTTATTTGTATATAGTTTTGTACGTTGTTAAATTTTAACTTTTTGTCACCTTTTCATCCATTATATTTTCTGAGTAAATATATGGGTATATACATTAAAGCTGTTGATTTCTGTAAGCAGTTTTATATTTTGTATCCAAACTATTACTGAATTGACCTTAAAAGAATCCAAGAGAACCTCCTACAATATTATGTTAACATTTTACCATTAAGTATGATTTATTTGGGTTTTTTCAGAAATACTTTATGAAATTAAAGAAGTTTCTGTTTTTAGTTTAAAAGAATTTAAATGTTTTACCAAATGCTTTCTCTGCAAGGGATATACGTAGGATGGGCTTCTCTATTCCCACTGATGCAGCAGAAATTGAGCTTCCTGTTCCTGCAAACTTAGGCTCTGCTGGATTTGAGTTGCTGGTTCCCAGAGTAAAATTCTTATAAGAGGTACAATAAATGTTCTTTTAAACTGGAATTTGAGATGAACACCTGGTCCTACGAGCTTCTAATGCCAGTAGACCACCAGGAAAAGAAGGGGTTACTGTACTGGCTGAGATGAATGATCCTGCACAATACATGATGGAGACAGGGAGGACGATGACTGGGATACAGGAGAGCCTCCGAGGGGCCTCAGTACTTCTATGTCTGTGACAAAATTAGTGGAAAATTGCATATACTGCTAGTGACTCCAGACTTTTAAGAGTGACAGTTTGCATTGCCCCTGTAAGCCACAACCTGTGGCTAGCTGAAGTGTTTACTAAAAGCAAAGAGGTACGGGATAAATAGTGCTAGAGGGAAGACAGAAATGCTGGCAATGACCACATGTTCAGTTACAAAAGCAGGGACTGTAGTAGCTATGAGTACTTCACTGCACCTTTGAAATGAATGTATGTATTTTCTTTCTATTTCAGTTTTTTTTCTTTGGTCTTCTCCCACCTTCCATTTCTCTGTTATAACCTTAGATGTGTTAAGAGTGGTTAACCTTATAGTCTGTATTTAGATTACAGGATATCAAAGGGGTGGTGTGATTCATCTCAAAGAAGAATGGACATCACCCGTGACTGAGGTGACATGGAACTCTGTGTCCTCTGGGAAGAGGGTGAGGTTTGGTTTGTCCAGGCATAGTTGAATCAATGTAAGGAAAATTTTTCTGTTGTCTTTATTTGTAAGTTAAGTATGGCTGGAAGTATATTTCCCAGAACCCTTTCTTAAACTTTAGGATTAGAGTTAGTCCATAGAGAAACTACTGAAGATTTGGAATGCAGAGACAAAACAACTGTTGTTACCTTCTGAAGGTTTCCATGGTTAGGTGTGGTGAGAGAAAGATGTGAAGAAACCAGGGGATCCAAGTTACCTTCACTATCTCTGCTCTGGGTGCAGCTCATCTTCCCACTGGCCAGTCCTGCTGAGCCCAGCCCCCAGGCTCACCAGCACACCTGGAGGCAGCAGCTTCCTGTAGACATCACCAGCTTTCCACCACGGTCTCCTTTTGGCAACTGCCTAGATTCTCTTTCAAGCTTCCAACTTGCTTCAGTGTCTCAGGTGGTTGGCTAGGAGCTTGTCTGATCCACCAGCTTGCCCTTTGATGGGGACCATCTTCTGCAATTATTCCTCTTATTCCTACAATAATCCCCTATTCCATGATACTCTACTTTCCTGATGGAACCCTGACAATTACACTCATATTCCTTTCGATTTTTGTGAATTATCTCTGATCCTTCCAATGTTTTTATTTTATTTTATTAGATATTATTCATGTATTCCTCATAGGCTGAAGGTTGCAGAGTTAGGTCTCCTGTGATTTTACTGTCTTTGTTAGAGGTTTGGAGGAGTTGTCATGCACCCTCCCTTGTCTCTGGGTTATATTCAATTAAGAACAAATAAAAACAGTAAGCAGGAGTCAAATACAGATTTAGCATCATAATGGAAAAGCTGAATTTCAGATGTCACCCACCCCTTCCCTCCTTCTCTTCCTGTCTTGCACATGCAAGTGTCTTCTAACGCTATTTGTTGAGGCAACAAAAACAGCAAAGGAAATGTCATTATGCATATAAATAACCCTTGCCAACTATTCTGAATTGGGAGGGGGAGGCTCATGGCTCTTGATGCTTTTGTCAGGTTTGGATGCGTTCTCTCTGTCCAGCTTATTAACTATAAGACTATCTAAAAAGTCTACTCATTCATATTTTTTCTCAGCATGCTTACCCTAGTTACAAAAAACAACAACAAAAAACATCCAGTACCTTTCTACTGGGCTCTCACATTGTTAGTACCTTAGACAGTGGTTCTCAAATGTGAGAGTCCATCAAAATCACCTGGAGGGCTTGTTAAACTACAAAGTGCTGGGACCATGAGACCCATTTCCAGTTTCTGATCCAGAAGGTCTGGGATAGGTCTAAGAATTTCCGTTTCTAACATGTTCTCAGGTTATGCTAACGGTACTGATCTGGGGACCATACTTTGAAATTTACTGTTTTACAGTATAAATGCTGTGTTGTCTTCTTCCACACTTATTTTGAGATAATAGACCCCAGTTGATGTCAGGTGCCATGAGGAGCCATATTATGTTAAATTTTGATAAAGTAGAAATGCTGAAGTGACTCAAATGTCAGGAGCACATTATCAAAAGTTGCCATCTCAAAAAGAAAATAGTGAAGTTTTCTCTTACCTTGGTTTGAAGATTTCTTGTACAAACCTCTTTAACAATTTGTAAAGAGAATAATTAATAATCAATATTTCTTACCATGTGACTTTGATAAAAATTAAGAGAAAAAATTAAACCAGTGTCTAGTTTAATAATAATTAAATACTTTGCCTTTTCTGAACTAATGAAAGACCAAATGATTTTACTCTAGTTTTGGATGTCGTTGGTTTAATAGCATTGTTATCAGGCATTCTTCTAAGGATAAACCTATTGGAAGATAATGTATTATCAAATAGACTGGTCTAATTTTCTATTTGCCAGTTAAAATGAATTAATGCAGCTGACATCGTGTTTTATCATTACATGCAACTAGAGTTTTCTGAAGTGTCCTTTGATGATTACTATCATTCAGCTTTCTTAAAGGGCCTAGGTGCCTCATTAGTATTGTTACTGAGCAGTGTGATTATTTCTGCAGCAGCTGGGGAAGGATTATATATTTCACTGGACTCCCTGGATTAATGATGAGAAATGCTCTGGTAGTGACCCATGAATAGAATGTAGGAATGTTTCAAAAAGCTCTTTAAATTTACAAGCTTATCATTTTCAGAGTAAGTGGTTTTGCCTGTTTGTTTTTTAATGCTTATAGTAAAAATGATCTTGGCTCTCCAACTAGTATCTCTCTTTACCACCAAATCTAGGAGTGCATGGTCTCTCTCATCTATAGTTTCAGCCCCACCCAGCAATCTGAGGTCAGTCTTGGCTTTGGTCAAGAGCCATTTAAAAACCCTGCAGGATGAGGCAGAGTGGTGGGACTTGCTGATGATCTAGCTCTAATCAGATACCGAGATCCCACTACTTAGGCTTTTGTCTTTCCATTAAATCCCACCTTTAAAAACAAATGCTAATAAATGTATTCCTGACCTGCCACCTGTGTTTTAGTTTTCTATATAGAACCCTAATTCCTCCACAATTGGAACCTTGTCTACTCCCCAGGTCTTGCAAGAAGTACAGCCTGACTCCCACAGTCTGACTTCCTGCCCTGTGCTGTAAGGATTCAAGCATGTCTGCCACCTGCACGATCATCATAACCAACACCTGTGTAGGAGCTTACCTTTGACAAACCACTTCTTACTTTCTCTTCTTTGATCATCAAAAATATTCAGGTGAGCATGGTGGTAGTACTCCAATTTAATTTAATTACAGAGGCTCGGAAGAATAAAATAAATTGCCTGGGGTCCCCGAGCTAGTAAATAATCAACTATGAGGTGAGATTGGGTTCTCTGAACATAAATTCAGTAGTTGTTTTTAACCCTCCCTACATACCAGATGTCCCTGAAATTGTCACTTGCTTTCACCTGGACTTCTTTCTGCTGCTCGCTGTTCAGACCTCCTCTAGGGTATTTTACTCTCCAGGTCAAACTAAGCCTTGCTCATTTCACCTGTCCTGTTCAAAACTCATGAAAAAAAAAAAAAGAAAAAAGCTCTTTAAAATGTTTTATAGTTTTGCTATATCTGAATTGAAGTAGTCACAAAAGATACATAATTTGAGATTAGGAAGAATGAATCATCCAAAACAAAAATTTATCTCCTAAACAAGGTTCTCATCCTTTTGACTGCTGCCCTGAAATTGCTTATTCTAAGATGAGGGAAAAGCTCCCGCGTCAAATCTGAGTTATTTTCCAGTTTTTCTCTCTTCACCTCTATGGCATCTAGAATTCCTTCCCTGTGATGCAGTTGTTTGGTCACATCTCAAGTCCACATCCTTGGGGGAGGGCTGTGGAAGAGTGGGGAGAAGCGGGTGAGGACTGGGACACAGAATATCTAAATACAAATCCTGGCACCAGCTTGTCACTTTAGGGAAATTGCCTACCCTTTCTGGACAGGGTGGGAATGGCCAAGGGCACTGGCATCTGGAGAGCGGACTGGCTGCCACCCCGAGGCAGATCAGGCCCCATGGCGTGACCCGTCATACCTTCTTCTCAATAACATGGAGATAATAGTTGCTCTCCTCACCTTCCTTCCAATTGAGACTCACTTAACTGTTTATGTAAAAAAAAAAAAAAGCCATGTAATTGAGAAAGTAATATTATTATTTTGTTTTTACATCACTTTATATATTCCAAGTGTTTCTGCGTGTTCCTTTATACTGAGAATCTTGATACTTAGAGATGATAAGTAATTATTCCAAGGGTACAGAATTAGAGTAGAAATTGGAACCAAATTGCATATACACTTAGCCTCATTTTCCTCCATACACGTTTATTTTCACCTTGGCCCTGGATTACAATCACTTGGAACCTAACTCCACTCACCCCCTCCTTTATTTCCACAAGCAATAACTAGAGACTACATGCACAAAAACATTTGTATGGGTCTGTCTTCTCCTACTCAATGATCTGTGCGTGATGCTTTGAGAGACCAGAATCTCCCTGGGTAGGGGAAGTATCTTGCACTTAATAGGTGCTCAAAAGGATTAGAGATGGAAAAAAAAAATTGAAGAAAGAAGAGCTGGCTGCCTAAGGCTTATTGGCTCCACTGCTGAATACAAGAGCTACTAGTCATGCAGCGATGAGCACTTGAAAAGGGATGTGTCCAAACTGAGATGTGTTATAAGGATAAAATGCACACCACATTAATCCATGTGTATTTTCATATTAAAACAATGTAAAATTTCTCATCAATCATTTTTAGATTGCCCGCATATTTTGGATATATGGATTTAAATATATTACCTGTTTAGTTAATAAAATTAATTTCACCTGTCTGTTTTTACCCTTTTAAATGTGGCCACCAGAAAATTTAAAACTACACATGTGGCTTGTGTTCTGTTGCTATTGGCTACACTGCTCTTAGGCATTAGTTCACCACCTTCCATTTCCTAAGTTGCTTGTTTTCTTCTTGGTGTCTTTGTGCATGTAATGTCCTCTGCTTAAATCCATGTCTCTTCCTTCATAACTTGGTTTGTCACAAAGTTTGACCCCAATCGATCAGCTTATCCTTAAAACCAAGCACCATTACAGTACTATCCTTCATACATCATGTGAATGATTCTTTTTTTACCTCTAAAAAGGCACAATCGTCTTGAAATTTCAAACATAATGCCTATTTTTTTACATTGTTCTAAGACACCTAGTGTAGCTCTGAGAGTGTACTGAAATGTGCTTGAATGCCATCCTGCAGTCTTACAAAGTCATCAGCCTAAGAGACAGTCCCACTAATCCTTCCCTTCAAATGGACAAACTACCAGGGACACTAGGTGCTCCTTAGTAACAACATGTAAATTAAAAAGAAAAAATTTTTTTCTTGCCTCTATTTTCATTATTCTTTTAGGTCAAAATCTCATTTCCCTGTTGAATTATTACAGTTACTTCCTGCCTGAAATCTTTGCTCCTAGTTTTCCCATCAATTCCATCCTGAATCTCATTATCCATTCAATCTTCCTAAAATACCACTATTTTCATATCAAATTTTGCTGAAAAGTCTAAAATGGCTTCTGATAGCCTAGAGCAATAATTCTCAATCTGTGCTTCACTGAACCACATGATTTTGCTCATTTAACATTAACAGTTCTTGAACCAGAGCAGCTATTTCTTGCTCTATGTATCATGTTCAATCTTTCTTCTGTTTTCTTGAACATATGGAATACAGTTATAATAACTGTTATAATATTCTTATCTTGTAATTCTATCATCCATGTCATTTTTAGGTCAGTTTTGATGGACTGATTTTTCTTCCAATTTTAAGCTGTATTTTCCTGCTTTTTTGAATGCCTGGTAATTTTTAATTGGATGCCAGAATTCCAGCTTGTTGGGTGCTGGACGTATTTGTATTACTATAAACATTTTTGAGCTTTGTTCTGGGTATGCAGTTAAGTTACCTGGAAACCTAGTCTTTCAATTCTGATTTTGAAGCTTTGTGGGGAAAAGTAACAGAGTGCTTAGTCTAGGGCACAACTTGTTAGCACGCTTCCTGATTTCCCATGAAGTATGGGATTTTCCACTCTGGCTTGGGGAAACAGGAACTATTTCTGGTGAGCTCTGAGGATTGTCCTCTAATCCTTTTGGGTAGTTCTTTCTTTACACACCAAATGGATCACTACTCAGCTGAGGACTTGAGGGAGATCCTTTGTAGGTCTCCAGAGCTCTCTGAGCAGTGCTCCCCTTTCCGGTTCTCTGCTCTATGAACTCTAGCCACCTTGGCCACCTCAGACTCCCAGCTCCATCTCCTTAACTCAGGCAGGTTGCTAGGCTTAGTCTGAAAACTCCCTGAGCCCTGCCTGGCCTGGAAACTCTAAGCAGTCACCTGGGGCTATGAGGGGGTCTCACCTTATTTAAGTTTCATCTCTAAAGGATCATTGCCCTTTGTTGCTTATTGACTGATGACTAGAGAACCATTGTAGCACATCTTCTTAGTTGTTCTAGGTGAGATGGTAAATCTACATTTCTCCATCTTGCTGAAGGCAGAAGATGCAATCAAAAGGCTTATATCATAGTTTGTTTGAAAAATGTATTCAGCCCTTAAAAGAATATTTTTTAAAAAGAATATTTTTAAAAATCTAGCACAAAATCTAAACTCCCTAGCCAGATAACCAAAGCCTTCCACAATCTGCCCTCAGTCTAAATTTCAAATGTGTTGTCCTGTTGCAGGCAGAATGACTAAATACAACTTGCAGGTTTCTACCTCTTTATCCACAGGTTTCCCATCCTATCAACACAACTTTGTCTTCCTAGCTAACTTCCTTTTACCTGACCCACTATTTTGGTCTGGTAATTTTAATTGCATTTACCTCATCTTACCATTAGGATCACATGCTCTTTTAGGATGGAAACTATCTCTGATATCTTTATATTTTTTTCCCCAAAAGCTTAGCGCAAATACTGGGCAGTGGGGGACATTCCACATATGTTTGTAATTTGCCTAACAGAATGCTAAATAGCCTGACAGTAGGAGCCTGGAGTTTTATTCTTGCTTGTCTTAATTTGCAGCACACGAATGACTATATGACAGAATAAAAATAGGCTATGATGTAATTTCTGAGTAATCATGATATGACATTATAAATGTAGTCAGCCTACTTTTAAAAAATCCAGACAGATGGTAAAACATTCCATGTGATTTTATTCTGCGTGCTCTGTGTCCAGTCCAACAACCCACAACTTCTCACTTCCCTGTTCTCAGACACCAAGAGTCACAGTGCTGAAATTTTCCACTATACCAGGTCTGTTATCTGTACCCCGTAGGATGGAGTATGTAATGTCACCTTCTCTATTTTCACTGACAACAAGCCTGCAGTAATCCTAATTATTTACTAAAAGTAGTTGTCTCTGGGAGCAGTCCAGAGACAAGGAGCCAGCATGGTTAAGAACATGGCCTCTGGTGTCAGGCTGTCTGACTTTGCTCGCTGATTCTGCTGGATATTAGCACTATGACCTTGTGCAGCCATCTCCCTCCCCAGGGCTCAGTTCCTCCCCCTATGAAACAGGAGATGATAACACAGCATGCACAGTCTTGTTGGAACTTAGATCTTCCCACCCTACTCAGTGGGAGCTTAGTGCTTTGAATTGAGTTGAGATATATGCTTTACCTCCTAAACTGGGTCATTGCTTTTTAAGGACAAAAGTCCTTACCATGTTGTTCAAAACCCATGGTAGTGACTGAGTGCAGAAAGAAACAGCCATTATTCCCAATTTTAGTGTGTCTGTGAGCTCAACTTGTTTCACCATGAAGACTATTGAAGGAAGTTTAAGATCCAGAGAAATTCATTATATGCCTATCTATTAGTCTTGCTAGGATATGGCCATCTTTGATTAATGAGAAGCTGAATAAATTATACTTACATATGCTCCAATATAATTTCAGTTATTTTATAATAATAATAGTTGTTGCCACTTATTAAATACCTTCTCTTTTCCATGTACTATTCTTAGGACTTTCTAGATGCTATTTTATTCAAAATAGAAACCTTATGATATAGGCATAATACGAATGAGAAAACTAAGGCACAGGGAGAATAAAGAATTTGCCCAGTGTCACCTGGTTAGAACAGTCGGAATTCGCACTCATGCAGCCTGACCTCAGAGTCCACTACTTAAGCTCTAGGCTCTTCTGATAAACCAAAACAAGGTTTTGTCTATGGTGACATATTTGTCAAACTGCAGATTGGCCTCATGACTGTAGACACTGAGAAGTTCAGAGACACAGTCAACACAAAATTGTAATCATGGAAATGCATTCTAGGTATTACTTGGAGGTGAGATAGGTAATGATTAAAAAAATTTAATGTTATAGGGAATAACACAAATCGCCTCATAAAACATAGACTCTTCAGCTGAGTCCTTCGCAGTGAGAGGTATTGAAGGATGTTTCCAACAGACCTGTGCTGGGCAGGCTGCCCTGGGAAGGAAGCCTTGCCTCTCCAGGAGGAGCACTAGTATGTGCCATTGTCTAGGTCACCAGAGAAAGGTTAACTGAGC